CAAAACACTACCCATATGCCCAAGCAGTGGGGGCTATTCTTTATGCTTCAACCATAACGCGACCTGATCTTGCTTTCCCAGCAAGTCTCTTATCTAGATTCCTTAGTAAATGGAATGACTCACATTGGAAAGCGGTCAAACACCTACTTCGTTATATCCGTGGTACCTCTGATCTTTGTCTCACCTTCAACAAAGAGAATAGCAATCGCATTGCATTAGGTTATGCAGATGCAGATTGGGGAGGAGATTTGGACACTAGAAGATCAACCACTGGATATGTCTTTAAAGTTTATGGTGGAGTTGTTGCTTGGAAAAGTAGGAGACAACCCACAGTTGCGCTTTCAACAACAGAAGCGGAATACATGGCTGCATCAGATGCTACACGCCAAGCTGTATGGTTAAGACAACTTCTGGATGATTTGGGACTTGGACTTGGTCAAGAACCTTTGAAACTTCTCAATGATAATGCGGGAACTATAGCTCTTGCCAAGAATCCAGTTCATCATAACAAGACAAAACATATTGACCTGCGACATCATTATATTCGGGAGAAAGTTGAAGATAACACTGTCTCTCTGTCACATATTCCCTCAGCAGAGAATATGGCTGACTTGTTGACAAAGGCTCTTCCTTCAGATACATTTGATAGACTGAGGGAGCTATTAGGGGTATGTGGCAGATCCGCTTGAGTGGGGGTGTCGGAAATGGTACAATCGGCTAACTGCCACATTGGTGCGCTATCGCTATTTCCGCGTATTCCCTCGTCTCATATCTAACCTCTGTCAATATTGTACTCTTTATGCATTTTACTTCTACATCTGACTTCTTTGTCTTTTTCTTTTGTTGCCAATTTTGCTCTTTTTGAAGTCTTTGGTTTAGTCTTACAATCTTCCGTTGAATGACCGGTCTTTTGATGAAATGAGCATTATTTCGAATGATCTGCTGGTGGAAATCGATCAAATGGTTTCTTTGGGTTGTTAAAAGACGATTTAGAGCAAAATTTCGATTTTGCAAACATCCCAGTTGCGCCTTCTCCCTCAGTTTTCCTCCTACTCCATTCTGCTTGAACTCCAGCCTGTACTTCACTTGAAGATAGTGATTCCCTAAGCTAAAGCGTCTGTTTGAGTGTTGTGATTGATTCTGGAAGCGCCAATGTCATAGCATAGGCCAACATCTTGTCTGAATGATTTTCTCCTGCCGAATTCAACAGAGCATGTGCACTGTGTTGCGCAGCAAGTGCTGGCATTGGATCCTCCCCTTCCAAAATCGTTTTTTGTGCCATTTCTTGAAAAAGTGCAGCTTGTCTAGCTCCAACAGCTGCAGAGTATTGTTTCTTGAGCTCGTCCCAAAGTGATTTCGGATCTGGCAATTTCCAGTCTTTAACATCAGATGGTAGTTCCACACTTTCGCTTTTTCTCTCATTCATTTACATTACTCTCTTCTTGCTCCTAAAACCGGACCTGCTTTATTGTGGGAGGTGCATCGTGTATCGCTCTAGATACAGCGGTGTAGACGAATCTGGACACCCCAGTGGCGCACCTCTGAGTCCCTAGGACATATCAAGCGCGCCTTGCAATCAGCTGAGTCACTCTGAGAGTCTATTCTTTGTTGTTTCAACTTTAGCTGATTTTACATTTTTGAGATATCGCTTTTTGTTGTTATCTCACCCAATACTTCAAGCCTCGTCCTCTTACCTCTACCACACATTTGCTATCAGTGCGTCTACCACCACCTGAAATCTCAGTATCGTAGCTGTTGTCCTCTCCGAGTGATTGCAATTTTGTAAATTCAACATCACAACCAAATTAAAGCGGATGAGATTGTTTCGGAAAGCGATTGAAAGATGATTGAGTACACTTTTGCACTTTTCAGACATTCTTTGATCTTTTCTTTATCTTTCAAGTCTTTAGAGAGTGGTTCAGTGTCGATATACGGTAGAAATCCCTTGCCCAAAAGTGTGGTAGCGATATGAGCTTCTCATTGCGCACAATTCTTGCTACCTTGCAATTTTATGATTTTGACTTTTACTTCGGTGTCAGATGAGTCGGACATTTTTCAAAATTCAATAACTTGATAACCAATGGAGGCACAAAGCTGATTTTAAGTGTGGTGGTGGATGCAGCAAAACTGGATATGTAGTACGAATAAGAGGACCAAAGTGGAAGTATTGATTGAGATAATCAAGAAACGATATTTTGTGAAATGTAAAATCAGCAACAGTTTGAGCAACAAAGAATAGGCTCTCAGAGTGACTCAGATGATTGTGAGGCGCGCTTGGTATGTCCTAGGACTCAGAGGCGCGCCACTGGGGTGTCCACATTCGTCTATACAGCTGTATCCAAAGTGATACACAATGCACCTCCCACAATAAAGCAGGTCCGGTTTTGAAATAGAAAGGAGTAATGGATGAGAGAAGAAAACAAAAGTGTGGAAGTGAATGCGTCTTCACCTGCGCTTCTGCAGCACTTGCCTTCACCCCCAGCCGATAGCGTTGATACCAGAGGCTTGCTGTGAAGTGTGGATTTGAGGAATAAGAAAAGCGATAATTTAAAAAGGTGATGATGGAATAATTAAAAAGCGAGCTTTTGATTTCAGATTTTTGGTCTCCTGCTTCAACCACTGGTCCGATTTGCCCTTTGTCTTCGGATATAGATAGAGCGCGGTAGAGTGATGTAGGAAAGACAAAGAGCAATAGGATTGGTGGCGAATTGGGGAAATGAGAACAAAAGTCAAATTTGAGATTCAAACGGTGGGGTTTGAAAACTCAATTTTGTACATTTGCTCTGCTGGTTCAACCGCCTCACAAAAGTTGAATCTGGTTGCAGGTGTAGAGAGAACACACCGAGGCAGTCCAGGAGCTGTTAAGATCAATGGAATCAGTGCAGAATTGAGGTGATGAGGATAAGAATTCAATTTTGAGTGTGGAAGCTGTCTTACTGTTGCTCACAAAAATTCCGACTTTGTAAATAACTTCCTGTCCCAACTGCTTTTCCAAACATCAATCTCTTTCCTGTTTGAAGTACCTCTTACTGTCTTGCTTCTAATGGTTTAAAGAGTGTCGTATTTCGTTTGGAATTGACTGAGTGGTGTTGAAAAAGCGATTTTGTTGGTTCAATGAGGGAGGATATTGGAGTCGAAAAATTTTCACATTCAATCTATCTTGCTATACGTTAATGCTGTCGGTCTACTCTTTTCGGCAATGGTGGAGACAGTGACGCTCTGTTCAGATCTGAAGAGATATTGTGAATCGGAGCAGTATTTGTCACGAACTACGTTGTGACACCTCGATTATTCCACCAACAATGAGCCTCCTTTGACCATCAAAACCCCCATCACGCCTTAACCTCTTTACTCTACTCGTAACTCAGGACATCTGAGACCAAGTACGGCGAAGTTAGGCGGAGTTAGGCTAGGTAGGGACAACGGGAGCAGAAGTACGGCAAAGTTAGATGGACTTAGGCTAGGTAGGGACAATGGGAGCAGAAGTACGGCGAAGTTAGACGGAGTTAGGCTAGGTAGGGACAAAGGGAGCAGAAGTGCGGCGCTGTTAGGCGGAGTTAGTCGAAGGAGGCAGAGGATGGCCGGGGACTCGGGGAAGTTGGACGAAGCGCGTTGAAGTACGTCAAAGCGCGAGAGGGTTGGACGAATGTCTAGGAGGAATAGATAATATTAGCTGAGAAGATCGCTGAAGTTCTTCAGTGATCCTTGATTGTTGTCAGTAGTGAAAGACAGATAGAGATAGCTATATACAAATTGAGATACATTGCCATCAGTAGAACAAAACCCCAGTCAGAGTAACTACGCTGAAGTACGCCGTAGTTACACTCCTTTCGACATCTGCGCCCTCCCGGTTGGGTGAGACATTGACTTAGGAGCGTCAAGTTAGCCGAGGTTCGTTGACCGTCGGTCTGTTGGAAAGTAGTTGTTTGAAGGCTGTGACAATATTGGAGGAGATAGAGTGAGAGTGAAACACAATTTGAAGCGAAATTGAAAGCCGAGTGTAGTCAGTTGTCACAAAGCGTGTGACAAGTCGAGCGAATGTCGGGGAAGGGTATTTAACCAGTGATCGGTGGTAGTCTTAACCGCCGATTAATAGGCCTTTTCGTCACAGTGGTTAACAACACTGTCACGTTGGGCACTGTTATATCGAGCCAATGCTGGTTAGTTGGTCCTCGTGACACTCAATGCTATTCTCACCATGCCCAAAACATACCCAAAAGAGATATTCTTGAAAGAGATTGACCTCACGCTTGATCTTCTACTACCACTATCCCCTATCCGCTGATATTGCAACCTCATTCTTGCTCTTCTAGATCTGCACAACTCCACAGAGGACCGTCCCTAGATAGCTCGTACCTTTCCTTCAAGTCCATTCCACCCACTCATCTTGATTCAATCTGCGCTTGATTTCATCTGTCAAATGAGCATCACCACAACCATTTGTTTTGCATATCACCTCTTGAGCAAGATCGGCTATGTACTCTCTTTGGCGCACATTCTGTATTCCATTCCACAGGACCCAAACCTCAAGCTCCCCCTTGATATCAGCTTGGGCTGTTGGTGTATAGATTGGTTCACGGTCACTGCACAACCACTATAGCACAAGTCTTTGGAGTATCAAGTGAGTCGCTTATGCCTCACACATCTACTAAACTAACAGCTAGGGGGGACCGTAGCACTTTGGACAACTTGTAGTCTAATTGCTCTCTTAGAGAACATTGGGAAATACATCAAATGGCCAGGTCTGAGCCGTAGAGATGGTATCAAAGGGCATGTCCTTGATGATTTTGGGGCGTATTCTTGATGATTTTGGGATCCCGGAAGGCCTTGGATCTATTGACGGCACACATGTCAATTTAGACTGAGCACCAAGTCAAGGACCTGCCTCTGGTGCATATCACGGACAAAAGAAGAGATATGGCTTCAACATCCTTGCTGTCTGTGACCATCAGAAGCGCTTTACATTTATACCCCGGGGATTCTCTGCAAGGGCTTTGGATATGCGACTTCAAGCTTCTATGAGGCTTCAGGTTTCTCCTGTTGAATTCTTTCAGGATGGGGAGTATCTCTTAGCCGATTCTGGTTTTCAATGTACCACTGTCATTATTCCAATGTACAAATGCGCTTCAGGGGAACTTGATCTGCCAGGGAGACAAGTAAGATCATTCTGTCTATCTGTCTGACTGACCGCTGATGAACAGTTGTACTTCAATGACAAATGTGTAACCGCTTGTGTGACAATTGAATATGCCTTTGGTATCTTGAAAGGCTGTTGGCAATTCTTGAGGGGAGCAAAGATGCAAGTTAAGACCAAGGAGGATGAAGCACGAGTGTATGGAATGATACAAGCCGCTTTCATCCTTCATAACCTCACTGTTTCAACAGCATCAGACTATGTTAGCAATGAGGATTTACAAAGACAAAGAGGGACTGAGCGAAGGGAGAAGAACCAACTTCTAGTTGGCCAAAGGGGACATGCTGGACTCAAAGAGGATTACATTAGGAGAGAGCGTCTGGTAGAAGAGATGCTGGAATATGAGATTGATGAGTACATCTTTTGAATGTATGCATCATTGTACACAAGTCATGAAAATCTTCAAACTTGGGTGTGACTAAGTTTCCCATTCAGGAGATGGTTGAGATCCGGCAGTTGAAGGGGGAAGACCTAATGCTATCACCGCTTCAAGTTTGCACTCATATGAGGTTTGATGTGGGTTCACCTCCTGAATCATCTTAGCAGAAGCAAACATGGCCTGTACCAGATGTGTACGCATCTTGGCCTCCTTGATATTGTTCTTTCTATCAAGTTGTGAGATCTTGGCATCCTGTTATTGACAATCTTGTTCAAGTAAATCTTTCAGATCACCCTCCACTGGAGTCTGATTACCCTTCCGTCGCTTCTCTGAAAGAACTTCACCATTTGTCGGCCAATTAGACATGAGACTCACTTTGACTTTGGTCTGAGATGCTTGCCCCTTCCATGGTGCTTCTTTGAACATTGGTGATCTGAACAATGTTGTTGAGAGTTGTATCAGATGGAAGAGAGTCACCCAAGCCAATGTCCCCATCCTCCCCCTCCCCCTCCTCACCATCAAAGCCAAGAGATGCGCTCAAAGTGCTGGCAGTGTCTTCAGCACTTCCAGCCAACCTCCCACCCGGTCTGAGGGTGGATTTGAGGCTGGCAGAGACAGGGTTGTAGGAGGAAGCTGTGTCGGCTCTAAGAGCTGCATTCCCCGCATCTTGGTCTTGGAAGATAGGATTGAGATGGTCCCACAGGGGACACATCAGCCGCACAGTACCTATAGTCTTAGCACGCTGACATTCCGTGTGACTCTGACTGGATTCAAACTTACACTCGACCGCCGCAACCTCTTTGTCATAGTCTCCTGCCAATCCACTCTGCTCTGCCAAACATAGCTTTTCTCCACCTTGCCCATTGCCAGTTTCATTCTTATACAAGTATGCCTCTCTCCATTCTTTGAAAAGGGAACACAGCTGATGGAGTCAGCAGCAAAACAAGTCTAGCAGACAATAAACATGAGAGGTAAAGAGATTCACTTTATTCTCAGATGCTATGGTGTCTCAAGGTGTTGGTACATCATGTTCCGCTAACCATTGGGCACATTCCCTCATGACCTCTCGACTCTTCTTACCCTGATGACCATGGCGCCAGTGATCCACATTGTGAGGAATTTCAAGCCGTTGAATGACGAGATCTATGGAGGTGTATCCGGCCGGATTTGGTTCATCATCCCATTTGACTGCACTTTTCTTCCCTTTCTTCTCACCCTTGGCTTCGCTCTTGTTTTTTTCTTGAGGGGTGGTAATAGTGGTATCAACAATAGTGGCAGAGGAAGCAGCACCAAGTGGAGTAGTAGTAGTGATAGGAGGTTTTAGTCCAACACCAGTGCAACGGATGCTGATGCCTGTTGGACGTTGGTGTGATGGGAATCTGACGCACAGGCAAGACCGACTGATGTGGCATCCTATGACTATCAGTGTGATCCAGCAGTTATTTCTGTTTGTCTCATGGACTCACCAGAGGTGATTTGATGTGTATTGACAGGTGGTTGGATATATTGATGAATGACCTTGGTGCTCGTTCGGATTCCTACGCACCGAAAATCGTGTTTGTTCTATTGAACAAGTTGCTTGGAGAGATTACCGCTTCAGGACATGCATGCTGTAGCTGTACGTTTGCTTTCTGTAATTGACACCCGCTGAGGTAGTCAGCCAAGGTTTGTTGGCCGTCGGTCTGCTGAGAAGAGGAGAAACAAAGATCATGACACCCTATGGGTGTAATGCATACGCCTAAAGGGTGACGTGCACTAAGCTCTTGTGAATTAAAGATCCAATGCTCAGCTCATAGTATGAGCTGAGACCCTTTATAAACTGCCTGTGCTGCGACCGAGATTCGAGATTTATGACAAGGGGTGACAGAGGTGGATCAGGAGGAGACATCTTACTTTCAGACAGGTATCACGTGACTCTCGGTGATGGGAGACGCTTCTTCTGGTGTTGACCCAAATGTTCCTGCTATATCCTGCTCTCCTTCGCTTTCCCCTCACACATCGTGGAATGTCGAGCTCGTCATGCCAGTCGCCATACACGACGACGAGCCTAAAGAGGATTTCCCAGAGCTATCGTCGAGGGATCAGGCGGCGTACCCCACCCCAGACCATTTCAGAGTTAAAAACATCCCTCCTGCGGCTTACTAGTGAGCCCTCCTCTCGGCCTACAAGCCAGACTTTCGACATTGACCTTCAGTGTTCCCGACTTTATCACTCGCGATGAGGAAGGATTTTTACTAAAACGGGTTCGTCCCCCGGTATAATGGTATGGTCATACATGCTTATGGGTCAAGCTGGGCGAAACTCCACAGCCGAAATGGAAGATTATGTCTTCCGGTCGACGGTGAGTCTCTCACATGGCTGTGTTCGGAGATATAGAATGCTGATAGAAAAGGCTTCACTATTGGGGTGAGCTGCTGTTCGATTTCGCAATTGAATACTCGACTAATCTCTGCGCAGGAGGTAATGTCTCGAAAAAAGGTGTTCTACTACCCGAGCCTCTGCCTGACTTCCTCACAGCCTTGTAAGTCCCACGGCTGTAAGGGGGTCTAGACAATCAAGTCGTCGCTCATGTGCGTATAGCCCTGATATCATCCAGCGGATAGAGACATTCCTCGATCGTACGCTGGGGCGAGATGATGCCTCTTGCTCTGACGGCACGACCGAACACATGCTCGGGATCAATCAAGTACTCGTCAATGAGTATGGCCCGGGAGACGGCATATCTGTGAGTTTACATCATCAATCAGAATACCTCATCGTCATGGCTGACATGATTGCCTCACGAAGATGGGCCAGCTTTCCGACCCTTAGTCGTCACTCTTTCACTCGGATCACATACCGTCCTAGATCTCCATCAATATCTCTCCTACACTTCTCCCTCTCCACCCATGACCGCGACACCCTCCTCAGACCTTCAAGACTCGACCGAAGGTCGTCCCATAGCTGCCGTCCCTTTCGCTCATGTTTTACTCATGCCCCGTTCTCTCCTCGTGCTGTCGTCCAGTCTGTATGCTTCACACCTACATGGTATATCGGCAAGAACCGAGGACTTCGTGTCTAGTTCGTCCTCACCGGTGTCGGCGTCGGCGTCAGGAGGAGTTGTGATTGCGAATGCCGATTTGATAGGCGATCCAGAGGTGGGGGACGCTTTACGCGACGCCGGGAGTTGGCGAGGTATACGAGGAACCCGGACGAGCTTGACCTTCCGCCATGCAGAAAAGGTGTTAAAAGGAGGAGCGTTGGGTTTGATCCACGGAGCGCTCCGTCGCGGCTGATATCGATGCCGACATCATGTAGCGAAACCTGTAAACTACGTCAGCAATGCATCATTGACTGTCCTTGTTTGCCTTATGGGACTGCAAGGGAAAGCGACTGAGAGGAATGTCTTACTTACCTCACGTTTCCAATCCTAAACCGAACTCATCCATCATATGCTGCAACACAGTCTTTCGTCCCTCGATGTGGGATGAAGCGGAAGTGGATGATTGTATGCTCTCCTTCGGCCTTCCTCCCTGCATGACGTGGTCTCCAGGTGTATGTCGTCTATCCCCCTCGTCCCCTCTGGACTCGCTCATGGTTCTCAAAGTCGGGTCAAAGTCAACCAGATCATCACTCTCTAACCCTTTCTTCACGCTCCCACCTTCTCTCGGCGTCAAACCTCGCCGAGACTTCCTACCCAAACTCCCAAAGACGTCGAATGATTCGTCATTATGTATCTTCCCCACGGACGGTAGAAGGGGAGAGAAAGACGTGTCGGGAGAGATAGGTTCAGGCAACGAAGAGGTGGTCGGCATCGTCCCTAACTCGGCAGACCAATCCAACTCTTCCGTCTCTTCTTCTTCCCTTGATCTGTCCTTGATGTGGAGGATCAGACCGGATCGTTTAGCTAAGACAGCGAAAGCCATGACGACCACAGCTAATTCCGACTCGGATCCTTGGACCACACGGATCGGGTTGATGATGGTCAGATCGATACCCAACACGTCATCAGCCAAGACGCCAAGGATACACTTTACAATGGTTATCTCGTCTTGACGCGTCTTGCACTCTCGTGATTCGTCCGGGAGGGCGAGACGAGTGTCTAGTAAAGTCTCGAGGATGAGTAGAAGTAGCGAGGGGGATGTACTGGAGAGGGTACGGGGATAGACGGGAATGTCGAGTGCCCGGAGGAGAGCGTGCAAGAGGGGTAGAGGTTGGGTGGGCATGGAACGATGACCAGCGGTTCAGGTGGATATTGGCAACACTACAGTACTGACGGCATGACAATGATGTAAAGCAAGGAGACAAACATTCCAGGTGTGAGAAGAGAGTGATGTTTGGATGAAAGCAGAAGGAGTAAACAATTGGCAATTGGGCGCGCGTCCTACTTGAGTAGTGCGAGTTGGAAGAGGATAGGTCATGATTGCATGTGAGAACTTTTGTTTGTCTGGTGTGTGTGTGTTTGTGGGTGAGTAAACTATATATGCTGCTCTGGCCCTACGAGGCGAACGCTGCGACTTCATACATCCCACCCCCCGCTCACTTTGTCCGTATCCCTTGACCCTCGAGAAACCTCTTCAAGTCGAAGAACAAGTCGACCTGCTCAGCCGCGGTGAGCGACGTGACTACCGACTGCATAATCGAGCCCACGGTCACATTCTGGATCTGTCCACCGTCAGCGTCGATCCAGCAGCCACCGGTCTCGAAGGACTTACCCTGATCAACGAGCTGTAATAGACATATGAGAATAATCCCATGAGGAATCTGTCCTATCAGGCACCACTTGAAGCAACACCAGGTTACTTACTGGCAATCCATCCTGTCCGTCATGCCACCGTGCCCAGGAATGGAATGACCAAAGTCCTTGATGTTGAAGGCGCGCTTGAAGCCAGAAGCGAAGAAGCCGCCAAAAGGTGCCACCAGAGAGGCAAAAGTGGCCATGACGAGTACGTGGATCTGGAACGGAGCGTAGGGTATGGCAGGAGGCGGGCGGCCGAGCTGACCCATTAGCCTCTGTCCGGATTTGACATTTCCTTTGACTCACCACAGTTTGCAGAATTTGTTGAGCCACCCCGGTCAACTCGAATTCACGCCATAAGAAGACCGGATTGGGCTTGCAAGAGACCTGCGAGAAGACATTCGTACCCAAGTCGGTAGCCGGACAGATCATGTAGGGGAAACGCATGAAATACGTGCCCCACTTACAATCAGCCAAGCACTAGCTGAGGACGAGCGACTCACGGCCAGGCCGAACATCAAGGTGCAGATGAATGCCCCGACGAAACCTTCGACAGTCTTCTTGGGGCTCAACTTGATCAGAGGAGTTCGACCGAAGAGCTTGCCTAGAAAGTGTCAGACCGACGACATGCACTGACGAGAGACGTACCGCATACGTAGGCCATGACGTCGTTACAGATTACCAAAGAAGCAGGGATAAAGAACCAGACATGACCTTCGAGGATGTTGTTGACGATGAAATGGCTGGATGATCAACTTGGTTTCAGCGACACGAGCTCACCTGGACACCACGATGAGCAGCAGAGTGATGTGCACCCAGCAAAACAGGCCGAACTGTTGACGTAGATATTGCCGTTGGAGATTACCGACAAAGCCCATGAAGCCTGTGATAATGAGCTAGAGACCATGTATCAAGGTGTCGAGTTACTCACCGACCATGTAAAGCATGAAGCTGATGAATCTATGATTGCGAGCAAAAGGTATGAAGTGTCGATCGACGAAAACGATGTGCTTGAAATAGTAGATGATAGACTCGCCATACAAGAAATAATTCGTGACGACGAAAAAGTACCTTGAGGGGGGTCAGCATTTTCCCTACCAGACAGTCTGACATACCAGTTCAAGGTTTTACTCCACTTGTCGCGATCCTCAGGATGCGTTTCCGCCTTGGGAGACCCTTCTGACCACCTCAGCTCGGTCTACAGCGAACAGGGGGATGTGCTCACGATCTCGAAGCTCAAACAGGGCGGTCACCTCCTTGTACACGAGGGTCTGACATACCATGATCAGTAGGATCATGTAGGGATGCCCGAGACATAATAATGCTGGCTAGTGAGCTTTGGGACGTCAGTCAAAGCCAGCACCCACTGATAAACCCTCCAATCATGATGAACGTCCAAATGGTCCGTTCGATAGCATTCCGATCTTTGATCTTTGGAGCCAGCACAGACGGCTTGAGTGTCATTGTCCTCTGGTCCTGTTTTTCCTCGCCTGGGACCGTGCCATTTTCGAATTTGACGGCATTATTGCTCGGGCTTGAAGGAATTTTAGCGTCCCCAGGGCCAACAGGGACGAAGTCTTGTGGAATCTTCCGCTTTCGATTGTCCGGCAACGGGTCCCCACTCGGCACGGGAAGGGACGCTGGGAGTTTGGGCGAGAAATCGGATGTGGGAACACCGGACGTGGAGGGTTTGAGGTCTTCGCCGTTGGACGCGTTTTTGTCATATCGTCTCGAGGGAAGCTTCTCGGACGCTATTGTCGTTGCAGTTCTCGAATCCGAACCGCTCGGTGTCCCAATCTCGGGATGGATAGGAATACCCGGTATTTGAGAACTAGTTGAGGTTTCAAGAGTGGTAGATGGTTGCGGCTTTGCGCTTCCAGTTTCGAGGACGGTTGAAGGAGTACTGGGAGCAGGTGGAAGTCGGACTGAGCTGGTGCCGTTCGTCACCGGGGTGCTCCCATTCGGCTGAGGGAGACCGGGAGTTTGAGGAGAGGAAGGTGTGGCAGCTTGTTTAGCCTGTCTTCTCTTGGCTGATTTTGAGAGTCGCTTAGGGGATGTCGGAGATGGAGTCTTACTAGAACTGAGAGTGTGTCAGCAGAGACACCATACGGCATTGAAAGACCAACCCGGCTTGAGATTGTTCTTCCACATCGTCCTCGTCAAGGCTGTTCCCGTCGCTGAAAGCATCGAACATTGTTCTGCTAGCAAACGCCATGCTCCCACTTTTACGAGACATGGCGAGCCGAGTCGGAGATGGTGATATGGTGAGTGATTGGAGGGGAAGGAATGAAGAGGGAAGATAGATACGTTGGCTGGCGGCTGGGGAAGGGATGCGACGCTCCAGGTGAAGCGGAACCTTTCTTATCACACAGCACGTGTTGTTAAAACACGTCATTGTGACCGGGACGGGGGCCGAGGGATGGGTCACAGTCAGTCTTGATGGAATTACGGTAACCAGTGCAGTGTCTCCTCTTGTCAACATGTTTCGACCATGACTCTGTAGTGTACTCGTACGCTAGCTACTGTCAAGTACGGTGAGGGTCTCTGTGATCTGTGAGTGCATGTACCTTTAACGAGCCTTCATCTCTCGCTCCAAACACTTGACTTGATGAACTCACAATCCAACTCCTAAGTAGCCGTCAGACGTATCTGTACCTCTCGCAAGGTTCCTACGTCTGACGCTCTCGCTCTCTGGTCTCGCCAGAGTGCTAGAGGACTTGACATACACATGACCTGATCTTGTCATGTCTCTTTGATATCATTCCTCGATCCTCGGGTTACAACGGTTGCTGACCGCCAGCCCGGCCGCGGCCGGCCGCAAGCTGCCAGACCAGACAGGTTGATCGTTCTTTCCCGATCATGACTCGTGGCCTCATCCGGTCGTCCGCATGTCTAGGCGAGTCTTTCCCTTGCCTCGTCCATCATTCTCTCTTCTGTTGTGAAATCGAGAAGCCCACGCACAAGACGCCATGACGATAATTGACCATGTTCGTTCGCCGTACGCTGGCGGCATTGCCGTGATTAGCGAGTAACATCAGCCTTGACTGAGCGTCTTTGCGCCATACGTCTAATGTGTACAGAGACTAGACGGATAGATGCGCAGTGGGTCAAGATGATACCCATCGATCTCTGATTTCCGGACGCCATGTCTGTCGTTGTGTTTTGAGTTCAAGCTGATTGATGCAGTTATAGTTATGACCCCATGTCTGTTCGAGTCGCATGACGTCGGCAGGGGATGGCTTGCAGGAACAGTCGTGGGCCATGGAATTCTCATCTACCCAGTAGCTTAGTAGCCAGTAGACATCTTGCTCTTGTTGTATGCACACCTTGCTCTTTTGCTCATGCTCCATGCTCCATGCTCCATCTTGCTCGCCGACAGTTTCGCTCCGTTGGTCGAATCTCCGCTCTTTAACGCCGACAGTGGCAGCTCTTTTCCGACGGAGATTGTGGGGTCACGTGAGGTTCGAAGCAACGATGCTTTCTTTCCTCCTGCTGCCATCTATCTTCCTACCTACCCTGCTCCTTTACTGTATCGACCACTGTCACAAGTGAAAAGGCCTCTGCAGCCCACTCGCACTACTCGACCAATCATGCCTTCTCGTAGGCTCCATCTCTCCTCGGGCTCTCACAAGCGCAAGGCCACCGAGGGTCAAGATTTCATGGCTGTCATCCTGGTTGGCTATGGTGACAAGTGGGTCTTTGCATTGCTTGCCTTCCTCCCCGCCTGATCTCTGCTCCTCTACCATCGCTTACTTACAGTCTATACCCGTTCAATGAAGGAATAAATGTAGTCTCCAAAGCTCTCATACCGGTCGCCAATCGGCCCATCATCAGCTTCGTCCTCGACTGGGTCTTTCAATCAGGTATCATGGGTCAGTCCTGCCGTCCTTTTCATCCGACACCGATGCTGATACTAACATTGCAGACGTACTCCTTATAGTGCCGCCACTATTCCACTCTTCCATCTCAAACCATCTGAACGAGAATTACTCTACAACCACACACCCTGGAGCTCGCATCACACTCAAACAACATGATGAGGGTCAGGACGAAGATGGCGAAGAGCCTCGTGGAGAGTCCAGTATGGCCATGGAAAGGGACGGGACTGCCAGGTTGCTCAAGCAATTTCGACATCTCATCGAGGTCAGTAGTTTTCTTCAAGGATACGCTTGTTGACGGACCAGACCGATTTTGTGCTCCTACCTTGTGACATCTCAACACCAGCCAACCTCCCTTTATCTTCCATCCTTGATAAACATCGTGCAGCTCCTGACGCCGTCATGACATGTGTCCTTTACGAGCCGGTAGATTCTGTCAGAGAAAGTGAGTGTCTCATCAAGAGCAGTTCCTAAGATTGACACGTGTAGGCGAAGAGAAAGTCCTCGTCGCGCTCGACCGAGAAAGCGAGGAGCTCCTGCTCGTCCTTCCCCTTGACTGTCTTGAGGATGATCTAGATCTACGAATGTCTCTCCTGCTTTCGTATGCTCCTTTTTCACGCTGTATCTAGACTCTGACATACAGTCACCCAACCCTATCCCTCACCACCCGACTCCTCGATGCCCACATATACGTCTTTCGTCATGCCGTTTTGGAGCTTTTGGCATCTCGGCAAACCAGAGACCTCGATAGTGTACGAGAACAGGTCGTCCCTTGGTTGGTGAAAGGGGCTTGGCAGAAGGGTCTTTCCAGTAGATGGCAGCCCAGTGAGTCTTACATCTAAGAAGAGGTTGGCGCTTACCAGACCCTTCGCAGCCCTTGACCCTCCTGGTCGTGACCCACTGGCCTCTGCGCTGCTTCGATCCACTACATTAACACACAATCACCCTACCCATCTCTCTGTACCTTCTTCCCCTGGCTCTTTCGATCCTTCCGCCGCTTCCACTAGACGTGAAACCCCCGCTTGGAAATGCCAACTGGTCATTTCAGCTCCTGCAGCCCGATCAGCCCCTGAGCCAGCGATTAAGAAGGGCGGGAAAGACAAGAGTAAACCTACGCCTGTCGTGGAACCCGAATATCTGATCCGATCAAACTCACTCGCTGGTTACTGGGAAATGAATAGGAGAGCGTTGCGGAAAAACCCACTTCGACTATCGGCTGAGCCGGCACCATCTCCTCCTAGCACCCCTTCTGAAGACGCCGCCGTGTCATCTTCCGCTCAGATATCACCGGACAGCATGATAGGTGAGGGTACGAGGATTGGAGAAAGAGCAAGTGTCAAGAAGTCAATTTTGGGAAGACATTGTGTCATAGGACGAGGATCAAAGATTACCGGGAGTATCCTGTGGGATTTCGTCACAGTGGAAGAGAAGTGAGTATATCTGTCTGTGATGAGTCGAGTTTGTCGACTCGAAAGCTCACGTCCAGTGCTCGGATCGAGAATTCAATACTCTGTTCCAATGTCCGCTTGGGCGAGAAGACGTCAGTCAAAGATTGCGAGTTCGGGACTGGCTTTGAGGCTAAAGCAGGTGGTGAGTGTCGCCCTTCTTCTTTGAGCTTTGCACATCGTCACTGACGTATAGCCAATCTGAAAGGGGAGAGGTTGGTGGCCGGCCAAGAGGCTTGACCCGCCGTGTCAATTTTGTACTTACTTCTCATCAGAATTCCCATGTCACATCGGAACACACATCGCAGACTGTGAACACTCTTGCATGCATGTTGATATCTCGCGAAGCATGTTTGAAAGAGTAGAGTAAGTACCGTAGAGAGTAGCGAGCAGACGACTGCCGTTTGCCTCGACCGAGTGTTGGAGTATCACCGTGGACGTACATAAGTAGTGTACATAAGTAGATGATATCATCCACTCACCATCCTCATCACCATCTCGTCGACTTTCTCTCTTTCTCTTTCTCTTTCTCTATCATGTCTCGTCTTACCCATACGCAGATGAGTACAAACTCCCCTATTCCCCCCACGCCCATCAGAACCACATCATCCCTCTCTACCATATCCGCTGATGCTGCCCCACGTCGTCACTCCTCCTCCTCCTCCTCCTCCTTTCCTCATCTCCCCCATACCCCAACACGAGCCACGTACGACCTGATGACCGTTCGACTCACAGGATCCGCCACTCCTTCCTCTAGCAAGCCCTCCTCCATGTTCGAAGGCTTCTCTCCATCGCGCTCTCGATCCCCCTCGGCGCCGCTCCTTACCCTCCAAGGCGCTTTCGCCGGCACTCGGTCACCCGGCACCCGGAAGGGCAAAGAAAAGGCCCTGAACACAGACTTGGTGGAAGGGGTCGAGGGTGAGATGGTGACCACTTCTGATGATGCTCGTAAGGGTCTTCGGGAACTGGTACGTCGGTCCACGATGGGAGGCCAACGGCCTTTGTTGCGTGGAGATGAATCGAGAGCAGTGTCTATCGAAGGTGCGTTCATGTCTCGAGTTTGCAACTTTGTGTCGGTCTCATCCAGTGGTAGCCTGACTGACTTATATAGGTGAAATACACACCCTGGATCCACTTAGAAGTAGGGTCATCTTCCGAAACCGCCTGAGGAGGTCACAAAAGTAGGGCTGATGGAACACAGATCGGGCTTATACTCCAAGACGTTATTACATCCTCACCAATGCTGGTAAACCAGTCTTTTCCTCGTGAGTCCTTGAAGCTCCCGTGCTAGAGATTGATCAGTAGCCATTCCGATACCGAAGAAGACATCTCAAACCTCATGGCAGTCGCTCAGGCTCTCATATCCATCTTCGCAGAAGATGACGACCGTTTACGGTGAGTCTGAACCCCTTGGGTTCACCACGGATGTTGGCGAACTGGTGAGAGGAAAGGATCCCGGGAGTCTGAAATGATATCATGGGTCCAGCTGAAGATCAGATCTATAAGAAGAGGTGATAAGCGTATCGTATTCCTACTCAAAGCACCCCTATATATGGTCTGCGTGAGCGATTGGGGAGAACCGGAGAATGTTGTGAGTGGTCTTACGTGCTGGACCCACTAGAGGACCGTACCAGTGACTGACACTGTAGCTCCGTGTGCAGTTAGATTACATATATCTTCAGGTATTGTCGGTCGCTACGTCCACGCAGCTGGCTCGAGCGTTTCAGAGGAGGAGCAACTTCGATCCCACACGGCTTCTGGAGGGTCAGTTCATAATCTCACACCAGGACCATTTTCCCGCTTCCTGTTCTCCCTAGCCTACGCACTTCAGATGCGGGCGTTTCCCAGCTTACTACCCGAATCAACAGCTGCGAGCTTCACAGTGAGGAAGAGAATGCTGACGTCCCCAGGGACAGACCAATTCCTTCACAACCTGATCGCTCGATCCCAGCACGACTTTAGCTACCTCACATCAACCCTTCAACCTCTTCGAATGGCTCCGGCACTACGAGAGGCGGCCGCTGCGGCATTAATGCCCCCTTCGAGAATACAAGTGCGTGCCTCAAGCCCGGCTTGCAGCTTGCTGACTAGTCAAGGATTTACTCTACGTCCTCCTGGTCGCTGGGGGACGGATAGTCACCCTCCTTCGACCCCGCAAGCATGCTGTTCACCCGTCAGGTACATTCGACCAGTTCTTGTCTGGGCGCCGCTAACAATCAGATCTACATCTTCTGCTCAACATGCTCGACACTTCTAAAACCCTCCGATCATCCGAGGCTTGGGTTCCTATATGTCTACCGAAGTTCAATCCTGCCGGCTTCGTACACGCCTACGTCGATTTCCCCTTACCAGACGTTGGGTTACTTTTTGTAAGCGCGGATCGGGAAGCGTTCGACGTTCTACGTGCTTGGAAAAAGGTCGTAGTGGAGGTTTGTTCACTTCAGGTTTCATATTTGCTGAAGCTAATGACGGCAGAAACTGCAGATGGATGACACACTGGGGAAGATCCGTGATAGCATTCCGTATCATGAATACTCTATCTGTGAGTGGTCTGCCTATGTTATGGTACGAAGTCTCGGATTGATTAGGACAGCTGCTCTAGGCTGTCCGGGGTTGCGACATTTCATCTACAAATCACGCCAACTGGTGCAGATTACCATGCCAGAATGGGAGGAGTCATACGAGCCAGACGGGCCAGATCGAAAACGGTTCGTCTTCCCCGCTGTCACCTGTATGAACACGTCTCGGTGAGGACGAAGGTGGTAGCAGCTGATGTATCAGGATAATCACAACGTACCAATGTCTTCACGATGCGGTCCACGCCAGGTCTGGCCAATCAACTCCATTAAAGCTAGTATATACTCGGTCGGATCAAGAAGCGTGTCTAGCTTGGGTCCGTTCCTCACGATCAACGACAAGAACTGTGTACCCGCTGACATTGTTAGTTCACAAAACCCTTTGAGATGTACCTCACAGTCCCCCCTCATTTGCCAAAGTCGGTGGTAGTGAGTGTGGCCAACGCTGTATTCAAATGGGTTCAGGCCGAAGAGGGCAAGTTGTTTCTCAAAGACGCTCCGGTGTTTTGAGTGGAGTATGCATTCGGGCGCACTGTAGAGCAGATGTCAGTGGAGGACTCGGTATATATAGACGTGTAAATTGTTACCTCTGCTACTTGGAAAGTGAAACGTAGGGGTTTGTGACGGGCGCGAATCGACATGGTGAATGGCTTTCAATCTTCTTCTGGACTTTGTTCTTGTCCACATCAGGTCAGCATCGTATCTAGCAATCTCTGTCTTGCTCTCCTTTCCTGTCCAACCAATCACAGGACCCTTGACAAGGAGCATCAGCCCAGACAGCATAAAGTGGATGATTGAGAACCGCCTGTCCCATGCTGATATATCCAAGCATGTGATCATGGTCCCACCAACCACTGCTCATGTCCACCCTTCTGGGTCTACTGGGCTGTCCTCACTGAACCTCGACATTCCCCTCCTCCACGTCAACGTCAACAAAGGCCACGGAGCGGTTGATATCAGCCAAACTCAGCAAATCCATCCAAACATACCCTATGTCACACGGTGTGAGCGACCAAGATCCAATAGTCATCAGTGACAGTGACGACGAGGTCGTTACAATCATCCCAAAAACCTCCAACAACCATCATGCGCACGCCCAACCTCTCCAACCGCCCTCCATACGCTCTGCAAGGGACAAACGCAAGCCGGCTTATCATCAGTCTCAACAACTGGGCTCGCCGTCGTCGGTCCCGTTGACCTGGTATCAACTTCGACGATATGCGTCGGATCGGTTGCGCCCAATTAACTGTCTGTGGAGGAACTGCGACGCTGTACTGGCCGACCCGGATCTGCTCAGAAGACATGTGCAAGTACATTGCGCCCAAGCCATACCAATTGCTGCGATGCGGAGACGGAAGGTGAGTCGGCGATAACAGGTTCTAAACCCCAGTTGCCATTCGATAAGTAGCTTACCATACAGGGCGGTTTTGCCGATGCAGGTTGCGAATGGAATAAGTGTGAAGAATTCGGCTTTTACAACTCGCAATCGCTCGCAGGACATGTCATCAAGGAGCATATTGATCCCCTGATCTCTTCTTGGTGTCCTTTTGCTGGTACGTACCACCATTGGCTGATTTCATGATCCCCACCTGAGTGTCTTCCTTTCCCCTCCATTCGTTCCTCCTCACCTCCTGGACCTTGCGCACAATCATCCTGTACTTACTTCTCAGCCATAGAGCACTTGGACCGTTGGGTATGCGTGTGACTGACTATCAGGATGCTCGTACACTTCTCCCTCCTCTCGAGCACTCTCTGTCCATGCCGAGTGCAGCCACAAGACACCATGGACCTTGTCCCTTCTTCCTCGACCTTTCTCATCTCGTCTACCGCCTCTGCCTCCTCGGATCCTTCCGAAAAAGATCCCCACATTTCTTCTATCCCCTGTCCGACCCACATGGTTTAAATCTCTCACGAAATCGGACGAACCGTCTCGGAGGAAGGTCCGATCTCGATCTCAGTCACAATCTCCCCCATTGTCGCGTGAGGCAATCAAGATGCTCATCTTTTCTCGTCGGGACGATGATGTCCCATTCTTACCGATAGGCTTACGTGAGGAGACAGACGTTGGGTCCTCCAGTACTTTCCCACCGGATCAGCAAGACTTCGATCTCGCACGGTCAGGTCAAGCGTATCACATCATGTCCATATTTCCCGACTCCGTACCAGACCCTCCTCTTTCCTCAGCCTCGACTGGACCTAACAGAATCACGAAAGCTTGGAGAAGACGATATTCCCCTCTGAGTCTCGTTTTCCAACCCCGTTCAATCTCATCATGTGTCCCTCAAGTAACAAGGCAGGCGGCTGACATGAACTCGGGCAGAGATCGTCGGCGGAATCGGACACTGCGTCCGGCAGACGATGACGATCTGTTTTCACTTGAGAGAATTCGAAGGGCCGCGAAGAAATACGCCATGAGGAAGAGCGGGCGTGTTCTCGGGGTCGACTTCTTGGAGCATGTCCGTGATTTTGAAGCTTGCGGAAGGCGTTGGGGAGAGTTGTTCTAGAGTGCAGATTGGCAGACAGTTGTTGGGGGTCAGACGGGCAGTATCGACAACGAAGTCAGACATAATCTCGTCATATCTTCGTATTTGGATCATTGGAGGTGGAATATCACCAGCTGATAAATGTAGATTCTGTTGTAGATAGTCACCATAGGAATCAGAATGCATACTATTTACGAACGCCAGGTGGTCTTCCTCTTTTCCGCTTGGTACCAGATTTTTCCTTCCGAGGGGATGTCAATGTCGTCTGTGTTTGTTCTTGTCGTCGAGCAAGTTCTACAGATTAGTCCACTCCCCTGGGTGACACCAAAGAACACACCTTCAGCAGATATATGGGGAATCGTCATCTTCTTCGGCGGTCGGACAGGCTGAAAAATGTTGACGTTAGTTAGCGTACGGGTGGCCATGGCGTTGGCGACGATTTTCCGACGATGCGATAGGACTATCGATTCAGCTCAGCAGGTGGGAGAGAGGAGGGAGGACGTACGACCTGGATCCATTGGGGTACCATCCGGGTCCGCTGAATGGGGGTACATCTCACGAAGGCGGATATGAGCTTGTGTAGGACTGAATGTTAGCTTCACGGGTCACCAAAACAAGCTCAGTAAGAAGGAAACGTGGACGAATCAATCCGCACCAAGTCTCAAAAGTGTTGTCAGATGGTGGAAAGATCTTTCATTCAAGTATGAGAGGAGGAGAAAATACGACGTACTCTTGTTCGACCAGCAGACTGCCTCTTAACACATCTTCCCATCCCAACGTCTTTAATCTCCTGCGCATAGAGCCCACCTGAGCCGGGCGTATCACAGCTAGTCCCACCAAGGTCTTATCGAGCCTCTCGACGACTCGTCGGACCATTTCGGGGGGTAAAGGCGGTTCGTCTACGTCCTGCAAAGCTTCGTCGTATAGTCTTGATGATTCGCATTGTTTCTTCGGTCTTCCCTTGCGGCCGTGTTCTTGGCCGACGGTATCATACGGGGCCTATTGCATAAGCTTGCAGGACATCATGTTGCCGATCTCAAAAGAGTTTTGAAAAACTCACCTGACCACTCACATTCTCGTTTTCGTCTTCGCGATCAGTGGACGTAGGACGATTTGGTAAGAGCAACCCCTTCCGACGTATATAAGCACTAGCGAAATCCACAATGGTGTCCTCCAAACTGACACCCGGTGGATCATCTTCTGGTAAGTCAGGCCATAACGTTGAAAAGTCCTTGGCCGCTTCCTCGGGTCCATTCGTATGACCTTGAAGGTCTGCCTCCTCGCCTTGGTGAAGAGCTGGAGGGAGAAGACGTTCAGCCAGTCCACCTTGAATCTTGATACCCAAGTCACGGACGAGAGATCGATAAGTCGCATATCGAGTCTTCTGCAGCTTTGCATCGGGCGAGTAGGATTCATTTCGTGTTCGAGAGGTCTTTGAGGAGGAAGAAGGGGATGGAGATGACATGTTTACATATGAAGTCTTGTAGTTACTTATGAGATAGACACGAGGTTGCGACGTGGTCTAACTTACTGTAACTACTTGGGCAAATTTTGCAGTTTTCTCTCTCTCCTTCTGTCGCTTCTTTCCCACCTCACTCCATACAACTTTGTTCTTTTCTCTCTCACATCCAAGATCTCCTCCCTGCTCATCGGCTGGATTAACACTGGCAGAACCAATCCAAGTATAAAGCCAGTCGTCATCCATTACCGATCGTGATTCAAGCTATCTCACGTCATCATGCCCCCTCGTGGTTATTCCTCTCGTGGAAGAGGGTGAGTCGGTCGCCCCTCCAACTACATGACAATCTCTCTCCTGCTTTCCTTCACCTCCTCTTGTCTATCTTCATATGCCAGTCAAAATCCAAACAAGCCCAAGTTCACCCTCGCCGATCACACAAGGCTGACTGTCACAGTAACAACAAGCCTAATCGTGGTGGTGGTCGTCACTTCTCCTCAGCCGTCACTGGGCGTCTCGACCAAATTCGGAATCGAGAATCATCCGAAGAAGACGATAACGAAGAATCTTCTTCCTCCGATGAAGGCCCCACCGTTCCCGCACCCAACCCCGTCGCAGTCCTCACTCCCGAGATGGCTGCGCTGAATCTCAAATTGGGCAACACCGTGGAAGTGGTAACAGAAGAGCCTGACATTAGCAGAGCCGAGAGAAGGGCTAAGAAGAAGGCCCAGGCTGAAGCGGCAGCTAAGAAAGGCCAAGTAACGGACGGTACTGGGAAAAAGAAGGTCGCTGTTCAGGAAAGTGAGAGTGAAAGCGTGGAAGATGAGGATAAAACCGTGGCTTCGAAGGCTGGAAAGGGGAAAGCTAGCACTCAACCTGTCCGGGCCCCCGAGATGTCAAGGAAGGAAAGGTGAGTCCGAAGCTTTATCTCATTAGCCAAACTCTCCGACTCTAATTGTCTCATCAGGGAATCTTGCGCTCTGAATTAGACATGGGTCCAAGAGGCAAAATGTTGTCACTGACGGATAGGGAGGCGCAAAGTAAGAAAGAAGCCCAAGAGAGGTATCAGAAACTACATGCCCAGGGTAAGATTCACATCCGCCTCGGAATTCCTGCGCTGACATATCCTAGGGAAAACTCAAGAAGCCAAGTCTGATCTCGCACGTTTGCAGGAGATCCGAAAACGTCGTGAGGCCGCTGCGGCACAACGGGAGGCTGAGGCCGCCGGTGAGTCATTTCGTCTCTCTTGAGCTGAACTGGAATTCTGACCGATTAGAAGCTGCGAAGGAGGCGGCCGCTAAGAAGGCAAAGGTGGCTACGAAGTTGTAAACATACGATGTTCACAGCACAGCTCGGGTCAAGACAACCAGGGGAGTGATGACAGATCTGCTCATGCATCTTGTGTATAATATGGTTGCGGCGACTCGGCAAAGGGAAGCAGCACCAGTCCACCCGTTCTCTTTACGCTCGATAAGCATCGGGTGCTACTGTTCCGCTTTCACTTTCAGACGTATCAAGTCTAGTTCAGATATTTGACCATCTTCTGATGAGGTTCTACTTGTCAGTCTCTCTGCGACTTGAGCAGCCCCCTCCACGAGTAGCATCGCCCGTCCTGTCGTCATAAGCCACTCACCTCCGCACTCATCGAACACGTCTCCTTCTGGTTCATACCCCAACTTTCGATAATACGGCACGACATAGATCTACGGTCAGCTCTCACACCGAAATACCATATGACCCATCTCACCTGAGCGTGCAAATATAAACTATCCCTGTGCTCCTTCGTACTCGATTCTACCTCTCCTGCTGCAGAGAGATCATCACCCACATGCTCCTTTTTTGAGTCCCCAACTCGACCTCGATGCTTTCGAACGTACTCTTCCGCAGCACGCATCAGCCCCACACTGTACCCTTTTCCCCTGAACGATTTTAGCACTGCCAGTCTGGAGATCTTGCCTATGCTCGGAGTATATCGCACCGTTCCTACCGGTACAGCCGTCGTCGAGTGTTCAGACTGCGCGAGTTGTGGAAGGAGTGATGATGTGTCGGTAGACGTTGGGGAGGGAGTGGGGATAGTCAAGAGAAATTGGAGGGATTGAGGGTCGTATCTGTCCTTCAGTCTATATACTCACACATAAGATCTGCTGGTGGAAGACGTATCCTTCACAAAAAGCAGCCCTTTGCCAACGTCATTTTAGTGTCGACAGGGTCACATAGTTTTTGCAGTCTAGCCCACGCTCCGATAGGACATTGCAAGCTCTTTGCTGAATATGAAGGTGATGTAGAGGAAAGCTTGACTTACTCATCAATCTCATCTTCCAGTTGGAACCCCTTTTGATGAATACACCCTACCAGCGACTCCAGGGACGACTCACATGCTCTACGACGAACACTGTAGCTTAGCTCCTCTTCGTACCAGACGCACCGTGAGCACCTTCTCCTCCGCCAGGATTTTCTTCAAACACGCATGACGGTTGGCTGGTTGAACCAAGCCTTCGGTCGACCGAGTAGTCCTGCGATACCCCAGCAAGTCTAGCTAGATGGGATCAAAACCGCAATCACCAAGGCCTCCTCCGATACGAGACAGATTGGAACAGGAGGTGATGTAAACTTTGAAGGGTTATGACGTGAGAGATCAAAAAATATGCTGATTTTATGACTTACCTTCCACCCTCATGTCATAACAAGCTTGAACCTCTTCGGTAGTCTGAGCGATCTTGATGGTGTAACCTCCCTCCTGCTCTCCCGCGGTTCCGCTCATTTCGGAGCTACTCGTCAACCACTTGAAAACGTTTATCACTCTTGAGTTACTGTGACTTCCGAGTGGAGTACTAGTGTAGTGTTGTACTGAACGAGTGTTCTTTCTCAACGGTGATTAGTGAGCTCATTCTGAAGATGCTGTGGGTTTTCCCGTTAAATACGTCATTCATTACCCCACCGGAATCAACGCTATCTCTCCCCCTTACCCCACATTTCGCCCTCTCAAAACCAAATGCCACGTCACTCTCACCCACCCCCATACAAAAACTTGAGCAACTGTCTATCTCTTCTCGACCAAGTCACAAGAATCGTCATCACGGTCCACCCACTTTCCATCGTCATCTTCTATCATACCTGTTGGTTGAATCGACGTACGGATACACTATCTTACCGTGGGGAAAGTCCCCGGAGCTTACTTTTTCTCTTCTCTTCCCCCTTTCTTGATCGTAGGTCGAACAGTAAAGGAAAGCGCTTGAAATCAAGTATCTCTAGTCACAAATCTGTTCTTCTTCTCATCTTCTCCTCTTTTCCATTCACTTGGATCTGGAGAACAAGATGACTTGACAAATCTTAAAGATGAAATTCGATCGACGGTTCTCATCCGGATCGAACATGATCCCTTGAAAAGATCTTGTCGAGGACCTACGATCCCATGATTCATCTCTCGCCTTTCCTTTTCTCTTCATTGGCGAAGATACGAGTTGTGATATATGAAGAGGATCGGTATGGGAGATGTATCTTTGGTCAAAAGAGGGGGAATAGGTAAAAAAGAGAAAATTGAGAATGGCTCATAGATTATAGTCATGCGATTGCCTGGTAACATTTCGAATCGATAGATTCAAGATGGAAGGTAACTCGATGGGGCTTACTCTGTCACTTGGTCTCCCCTATCCACCTCCCCCTACCATACCCTCCCTCCCACCTACACCACACAACCTACCCTTCTCTCCCCTCCACACACGCACGAGGAAGAGAGAAGATTGGAAGATAGATACCCCGTGATGTTTGGAATTTCTTCAACGCCAGCAGAGGATGACACGCCATTTGACAAAGGCTATCAGGTCGTCCTCTTGCAAGTAGCGATATTGATCCACTGAGGGTTCTCTCTTCTCATCGTTCACTCCGTTTCTACGTTATCTCCGCTTTTGTTTGACCCTCTGGGACTTGTGTAGAGAACGGCTGGTGAGATCAAACCCATCATAATTTATGCAACCATATCATGCGAAGCAGTATACAACCTTGACCTAACTCATCAAATCTACAAGATCCGCAAACGCATCTTTCTTCTGTCCCTTCCCTTGCCCTTGCCCCTGCGATCCCGATTGTCCAGTACCGTTCGTGCCCGGTGTTGTCGGTTGTGGTGATAGCGAATACCCAACGGTGGGAGCTGGCGGTTGAAGAGACGGGGCGAATCCTGTGGAAGGTTGAGGTGGTGAAAATGTGGATCCCGAAGGGAATAGTAGATTCCCAAACCCAGTGTCTGACCCAACGCCTGGACCACTCGGAGATTGAGCAGGCTTGGTAGCGAAGAACGCCATGGGGTCTTGTCTGGCATGACCCGAAGTGGAAGCCTTCCCGGATGAGTTGGGTGAAGGTGCAGGAGAAGGTGCAGAGAAGAGGTCGAGAGGAAGCCCGGAGGATGTGAGTCCAGCCGAAGTCGATGAACCTGCCATGTCGGTCGGCAGTGAGAGACCACCTTGACCAGTCCGGCCTTCCAGGTCTTCATCCGCGAACGCGTCGAATGAGATCAGATCGGCGGCTTTCTGGTTCGGGTTGGCACTGTGTGTCAGCCAAGATCTCTCCACCGTCTCAGACGACCTATGAGAATATGGTAATGTATAGAACTCACGATTCCACCAACGCCTTCGCAGCAGCCCAGTCCCCAGCTTTACATGCTTCGAACCTGTCCAAAGCATTGTTGATGAGATCATTGCACAACAAAAGGCGGTCTGCAATTATCAGATTCGACGTGTCTTTCATTCACAAATGACTCACCCATCATACCCTCTCGTTCCCCGTCCTCCTCTTCGATCCAGCGCTGGATCTTCGGTCTTGCACCTCTACAAGCCATGGCGACCTGATCATAGACATCACCTTCGATGCCAATCTTCTCTCCCTCACGAGCGTTGTTGAGCATGTCATTGAGCAGAATAGCCTTGGATTGAACCTTGTCCAACTCGCTCAAGGTCTGCGACGCGTAATCTGGCGCTTTTTCCGGTTCCTGCTTGTCAGCGGTCGGGCATGAAGTAATCGAGATGACGCACTGCTCCAGCGAGAGCTTTCATCAGTTCCTGGGCGGCGGCTAGATCTCGGGGTGTCCCTCGACGAATCAACTCTTGCAGCTTCTTACATGTCAGCAAGGTGCTCAGTGTCGAGTAAGAGGGACTGACGGCACTCTTCGCTGCCCGATCTTCTTCTTCGAGCTCCTGGGGCGACTTGAGATTCTGTCATATCAGCTTGACACCTTGACCGTGACGCAACTGACTTCGTTGGGGTTTTCATTGGCCATCGCTCTCGCAGCGTCGAACGCCTTGAACCTGTAGCCTTGCGTTGTTTAGCTTTTGGATCTTTGAGGATTGATGGACACACCTTTGTAGCTCAACAGCCTGTGCATATCTCTTATATGTACCAAATCCTCCTTATACTTGGAATGTACACAAAGCGTATTCTTCCATTCATGTATCAACTATGGGTTAGCTCAAGACGTCGACCCCGCATCGGCACTGAAGATAGTGACAGGGACACACCTCTAAGATCCGTGCCATGACACGGCCCGTGACCATAGGTGGCCGTTCAGGGAAGCGTCGGACCAGTTCATTGAGGAACTCCTTGGTACTGATCTGAAGATGTACAGGATATCCGCAATTCTTCACAAGACAATCTAAAGTGTTGAGAGCGAGTAGGGACTGGTTAGGATTACGAGAGTTGATATGAGTCAGGAGGGCGTGGGTGGCTTCCCGGGCGCTGATCGTTAGCTTGGCTGTTCGTTTGGGCACCGCAATCCTGCCCAAGTAGATAGGACCTCTACATCTAGTCATGTGACTGAAATGAGTAGCAGAAAACACACCTGTTAGCTTTCTTTCGGTTGATGAGCTCTGCCAACTCGAGATTGACAGTCTCATTAGGCGCTGGGAGTGTCGGATCACATGCTTGTTCTGAGGGTCAGCTATGTCGCAATCACTTGCCCATGACTGATACTGACGACCGCGATGACTAGAGAAGGATAGATGGAAGGGGTGATAGGGGATCGTAAGAGAAGCCAAGACACCCACCGACCAAAGCCTGAGTCGGGGACAAGCTCTGCCAAGGCCGTCCCGAACCAGAAGACAACATCTTGATCTGTAACAACTCTTTCTAGACGGCGAATGAGACTCTCGCCACAATGTCGAGGTGGATATCCCTGCCAGCTGCCGAGTAACAAGGTTGGATGACAGGAGAGAAAGGGATGGAATGCGAGAGCGGTGAGGACTACTTGTATGGGATGGAATATAGCGGAATCAATTTCCGCCACATTCGGCTTCTTCCTTCCTACTCGTTCCCTCCGTAAACCTAGAGTAGCTATCCCCTATCACTATCTCTTCATACTCTCCACACCGACATCCATGGCCTTGACACGACTCGGTGAGCTATCAAGCGACCATGTTCTGACACGAGCTGACGTGTAGGTCACAGACTGAGAGCGCCGGTTGTCTCCTTTAGACGCACAGCCACTCCTCGTCGGGTCAGTTGGAGTCTATATCTCTGTTCATTCTCTGCTGCCCTCTGGCCTTGTTCTGCGTCATGCATCTCGACCAATACACTGCCACCAGTCCTGCTGACCCTTGTAGGGAGCTCATGATCTCATCGTCGAGCATTCTCCCTCCTCTCATACCCCTCGACCGATAATCAAACGCGGACCTCCCACCGGCGGTCGATCTTCAGTCTCTGGCAACGTAGTCACTGTCTTTGGCTGTACCGGTTTTCTCGGTCGATACACTGTAGCAAAAATCGCAAAACAAGGTGCACAAGTCATCGTACCTTATCGTGACGAAGATGAGAAACGTCATTTGCGTGTCATGGGGGATTTAGGACAGATCGTTCCGATGGTAAGTGGACCGATAATTACCATCCAGAAATGATACTGATATGTACAGGAATGGGATGCCAGGAACCCTGATCAGATATATGAATGTGTCAAGCATTCAGATACGGTATACAACCTTGCCGGGAGGGATTGGGAGACAAAGTGAGTAGCTGATCTGACTCCGGCCTCTCATAGCTGATCATCAGAAATTTCACTTTCGAGGATATTAACGTCAAGTGAATCGTCACCAGCTCAATACATAAGACTCTAACTGATCTCCAGGGCTGCTGGCTTGATTGCTCGAGTGGCGGCACAGGCCAACGTCCCTCGACTGATACACGTCTCGCATCTCAATGCATCACCCAGCTCAACCTCGGAATTTTATCGTACAAAGTACGCTGGAGAGCGGGCGGTGCGGGAGGCTTTCCCAGAAGCTACTATTGTTCGTCCAGCAGGCATGTATGGTGCGGAAGATTGGTTATTGAACGCTATTGCGCGTGAGTTACCACCTTACACATGTCACATCACCCATCAACCAACTACGTACTGATAGATAGAATATCCTATCCTTTTCAAATTCAATCAGGGTCGTACCAAAATCCTCCCCGTTCACGTTCTTGACGTCGCATCAGCACTCAGCGTCATGCTCACCGCACCCGTCACATCTGTCGCCTCAACCTTCGCCCTTCCTGGCCCCGCGATGCACACGTTCAACTCTCTGTTCGCACTCACAAGCGCTATGACCATGAGACCCGTTTCCGGCGTTCCCGAGGTACCAAAAGCGGTTGCAAAGCTCGTATCCTCCATCATTCACCGAGCCATCTGGTGGCCTGTGATCAGTCCTGATGAAATTGAACGTAAATTCATCGACGATATGGGTACGGAACTGTTTGCCAGTCCGGGCGAGGAGAAACCTAGTGGTTGGGCCACATCTCGAAGTGATGGAGCGGTAGGCATCGATGGAGAACCTGTCAAGGGTTGGGCAGATCTGGACATCTCACCGGATTATATTGAGGAGCACGCAATCAAGTATCTCCGACGATATAGAAGCGCGTCAGTGTCTCCTTTACACTTCGCACGATTCATCGTTCCTCCTTCCCCGTCTGGATTACGTCCACTCTGCACCTGTGTGACTGTTTGAAACATTGGAATGAAGCTGACAGTAAGATCCAACTACGACCGTCCTGTCGAATTGGGCAATCTGAAACCTCCGAAGGCATACCATGTCGTCCCATAACACCGACATGCATCGCATACATCTGACTCGCAACTTTGGAACTGACAAGATCTATTAAATGCTATATTCAGAAGAAAGCTTCTGCTTTCTGACCTGGCACACTGCCGGGAGGACCTTGAGAGATGTTGAGATCTCGGATGGTTCCCTGATACGTCAGTCAACTTGACGAACAGATCAAACTACTGACATCTTCAAGGTGATAGACCCAACCGTGGATGACGACACCCTGAGGTCCACGGCGTTTCCAGTCCTGTTACGTCAACATCACATATAAGTAAACTCGAGGAGGACTGACATTTTTTATGACGTCTGATTCCAATAGGTTTTTGACCTGCTGTACGACATTCTGCCAGTATCAGCTTTCCGATCGTATCACACCTCGGTTCTCCTCGAAGTACGCAAGACCTCTCCAGTGATTTGTTCCCCACGGAATGACTTCAAGCGACCAAGCCTGAATACCACTCATCGACTCAGACCCAAAGGAATATGCGGCGGTAGCATATGCAGAGAAGTGTGTACAGATTACAAGGCTGACTTACCTCTTCTACCAATAAATCCAACGTGGGTGGACCATCTGGTGTGTATAGCGTACGTGCCAACGTGGCCAGAGGTTGGATGTACCTCTGCAAAGGTGTCGTAGGGGCTACGGCGGGTAATTTGGTGACGTTGAGAGCTTGTTGACATCCTACGCAATTGGTATGCCCCTTTATGTCAGGTGAGAACTTCCGTTTCTTCCTCTCCAGCTCTTTGTCTTTCTGCCTCTTCCTTCCGGATCATGTCTACTTCTTTTCTCATGATATCTTGTTGACCAAATCGCCCCGTGTTCCGTGGTAGATCGCTTCCACCCAGTCAATTTTCTCGAAAGAACGGGCGAACGATGGATTGAGGGGGTGAGTGATTGAGAGAGATGAGTATACCGAATTTGAAGGGGGAAAGTGTATCGTAAGACTCACAGTGACGACAATATGTTTGACCTTGAAATTCTGCAAAGCGATCATCATGACACCCTGATATATCAACCCACCTCTCCGTGTACAACACACAATCGAGATACTCACATTGACACTGTCGTCTTTCGGAGAATACATATTTGCGATATTTCGAACGCAAAAGATATCGCCGGGATCGCAGCCCATGATGGTAGTTTCGGGTACTCTAGCGTCTGAGCCTGGTGGGTCAGTTCTATCTCGCTCATGGTCACTTTGTCTCTGATCAAAGCTGCTATGCTCCGGGGAATGACGTGCATGTACACCATCCCTTTGTTTGAGATATGACCGGCATGAGAGGATGTGTATATGTGTGAAGAGATATGGAGAGACTCACATCCTATCCAGAGGATTTCAGGACGTTGACCGGGGTAGTGTCGAGGGAAGAACTGTTGGTAAGCTTCTTGATCTTATCATCTGTGCCTTTCCCTACATCTTCTCCTGCTGCATGATCAAGTCCCCTGAGTCTGGATGAGCATTGGGTCGGTTCTCGAACAGAGATCTCCCAGCATAAAATTCTGGTTCGAAAGAGAAGATACACTGCTTTGCGAGCATTGTCGAATTTATCAAGTTGATGGTTTTTCTCTCTGGCAGACCGAGAGTCCCAAAGTTAGAGGGTGTGTGTGGAGGAAAGAAACTCACACCAGGATCACGTTTCCTAACGGTCGCTGACCAAGCTGCGTTCCGTTCGAAGAGTTCTCTCTGAACATTAGCATCTCAAATGTTGACCTCTTGATCCTGTGGCCGTTCAATCATCACCCTGAATCGTTGAGAATGACCTGCTTTATCTTCCATCCCTTTCCTCACAATTCCAGCCGTAATGGGGAACTGCTGCACAACAGAGAGAACGAAAATGAAGAAAACTCACCATCTCCGGATAGTCAAGGGAAGATTGTGCCATTGTCATTTTGGCAAACCTCTGTTCCATCTATCAAAATTGTTCAGTTATCTCTTATTCCTGTCGTCGTACAAACGGATATGATAAACCCAAACGATAAAACCTTTATTTCTTCATCCTCCCCTTCACTCCCTTGTCATACCCAAGCTACGCCAAAAGAGCAAAGAGCAAAGAGCACGTCCCTCTTACCCCTTTCAAGCTACATCCCTCCCCCTTCCTCTTTACACCCACAAAGTCAGAGGGCAAAGAACCCGTTTCATGGAAAAAGTATAGGTTGATGGTTTTGATTGATGGTCAAAGCGGGGTTAATTGTCTCAAAGGAGGGCTGAATTAGTGCGGGCGTCAGGGCGGAGGAACAAAGAGGTCTGTGCGTAGAGATCGATCGATGACCGAGAATCTGGATCGTTTATGTTTGATACGAATAGCGACTGTGAGTACGAGTGAAGCACTACTCATACTGACAGTAACTATGCAACGCCTATGAGCAGGATAATGTCACCCTACATACACACACATCTCCAATCCCTTGTCATATGGTAGCGTCAGGTTGGTGAATCCGCTACCCGGTGCGCGGAGATGAGTCAGAAGGTCTTTGTAGCCTGAAGCGGCACCGATGGTGTTATCTATCAAGACCGTCGAGCCAGGTTTGAAATGTGGTTGAACGAGTTTAAGAGTTGGTAGAGCCATCGGGGCCCAGACTGGAAAAGTGAGCACAGCAAATCGCCCCCCTTACCTCGGCCTCACGTTTGGATAATGAGCTGATGGTATAGTCATATCGCGAACCGAGTTGCAGTACGTTGATACAGACGAGTTTCACTGAGGATGGTAGATACGGAGATTGGATGAGACAAGCAATGACTCACTATCGAGTGACAAAAGATCAACGGTCTCAGGTAAATCAACTTTCAATGTTTCCCTCAAATCACCTTCTCTCAATTCGATGATCTCTTCCAAACCTTCACCCACTTCCGCCCAGTGCAGTCTTGCTTGAGCAGCTTTCGAGGGCTCGTTCTCCGTCCCTATCACCACTCCATACTCACCGGATTTGGCTATATTTTGGGAGACGGCAAGTGCTAGGTAGATGGTGCTGACCCCGAAGCTTGTTCCTGCCTATCGATCGTCAAACAGTCTCGCAACCATCTTATCCCACATCTCCATATCCACCAGTCCTCGCCCAACAGCGTTTTTTGCGATTCACCGTGTACCCTCAACAAGTGACTTCGCTCCATCAATTGGGACGTACTCTCCAACAACACGACAGGACAGGACAAAGAGAACAGTGAAAAAAGAAGAAGACGAAATATCGACTCACCTCAACCACATTCCGAGCCCCAGTAGAAAGTATCAACTGATACACAAACTGTGACTTGTCTTGATCCAAAGCTATGTATTTATCCCTCATGAAATCATCAAACCCAACAGCTTGAAGCTGAGCAGCAGTAGCCGTCTTCTCCTGTTCCACCGACTGAGCGTGAAGTCTATCGAGGAGGGCATGAACGTGTGGAGGAGCCTGAACTGGATTAGGAAGGGAGGAAGCCATCATGGCTCTGGCGTGTTTGAGAGTAAATCAATGATAAATAGCGACCACACGAGCCCAGAGATCCAGAGACTTGATGGAGTGTAACTACCTCGTGTTTCAATGTCGACCGTCATCAATACCAAGAAGCGTACGACTAAGGTACAGAGAAGGAAGCGACATCGGGTTTCTCGGGCCGGCAGAATGGCGTCACGAAATCCCTGATCCCTGTCCAAGTTCTAATCTGATAAGGGCCTCACGTATCAAGACAAAAGACATGAGATACCCCGCTCAAGCGGACCGCACCTCACTGGATCAGAGAAGAGATAGTATGTGTGTGGTTCGAACCCTGAGGAGAGGGTCTGGGTCGAGGCTGAGTCTCGGGGGAAGGCCGAACTCAGAAGACTGAGCGTGTGTTCTCGCTTGGAGACTGCGCCCAGTACTCTGCTCCCCTCGCCGGGTACCCCTGATCGGCCGACTTCCGTGGAGAGGTGGAACGGAAGGGATTACGAGGCTACGAGGAATGTGAAAAGATGGGTGAAGAGTGAGAAGTGCAATAAGATCCCCAACCCTTTCCCGTCATCAATCTCTTCTTCATCCGCCCCAGACTTCCAGACACAAAAGTCTCTCGGAAAATCACCATGGCGGAGATACATACAGAAGAAACACACTCTAGACGTCTGGCGGAAGATATCAAAGATGATGATGTGGTGGAAGAAGAGCTGTTCATACCGACCTCCCTTCCGCCCATCCCGAGATGGCAGAAGATTGTGCTTTGGACTGGGTGAGTATATCGCTTCTCTACTCCCATGTGACATGTCTACTTGATCATTGGTTTGTTCACTCACCCCCAACTTGTCCCTCCACGGGGCGAATGGAGTCCAGCTGAACAACAGGATCATCCTCACTGCCTATGTCAGCGGCTTAGATAACTTCACCATGAACGTCTATCTCATCTATGGAGCCACAGTTTTCAACGGTCTGGTACAATGGACCACCCTCGCCGTCATTCAATCCATGATCTTCGCCATCGGCAAACCCATCTACGCCAAAACCGCCGATATATTCGGTCGAGCTTTCGTCTATGCCCTATCCTTGTTATTCCTCACCATCGGCACCCTCGTCATCGCCACTTCACAAGGAATCAACACTCTCGCCGGTGGCGTAGTATTCTTCGCTCTGGGAAATTGTGGTCTTACCCTTGTACAACAATTGATTCTGGCAGATTTAGTACCTCCTCGTTGGAGAGCTTTAGTTGGTCAAGCGGTAACATTACATTTCGTCATAAACTTTGGTATATCTTCTAAAATCACTGGCGCTCTCATTCCTGATCGATGGAGATGGGGTCCAGCAACGTTCTCTATTCTTAATCCCATTGTCACACTCCCTATCATTATCGTTCTTGGCGTTCAACAACGAGCCACTGTTCGCGCAGGCATCATTCGACCTTTTCCATATGAAGGTCGAGGTTTCTTAGGTGCCGTCAAAGCTTTTTTGATTGATATCGATATTCTTGGAATGTTATGTTTCGCCGGTGGATTTCTACTCCTTCTCCTTCCTCTCACCATCGCCAATAGAGCACCAAACGGATACGATTCAGGTTACATCATCGCAATGTTCGTCGTTGGTGGTATACTCCTTCTCGTTTGGCCGTTGATCGAACTTCGTGTATCTAAACCATTAGTCAACCTTCGAACACTATTCACAAACGTTGATGTCATCCTCCCTTGTGTCATTTACTTCCTCGATGATTTCTCCTACGGCATGACGTCCACTCCAGCTCTCAACTGGGTTGAAATAGTCTTCAATTGGAACACCACCTCGGCTACTTATTTCCTCTACGCTCAATCCCTTTCGCTCGTCATCTTCGGTGTCGTAGGAGGAGCTATTGCAGCTTATACGAGACATTACAAACGACTCACAGTCTTCGGCGCTTGTCTCCGTCTACTAGGGTTAGGCCTGATGATCCGTTATCGTTCCGCCGGTTCTTCAACTTTCCAAATCGTCATGCCTCAAGTCATCCAAGGTATGGGAGGGGGGTTTATGACCTGTACCTTGTTAGTAGCAGCTCAAGCGGCGGTCTCACACGCGAACGTCGGAGTTATTACAGGTTTCGTCCTTCTCACCATCGCTTTGGGATCAGCTCTAGGTTCAGCTGTGGTCGGTTCTATCCAACAAAGACTTCTAGTAGCTTTACACAAATATGTCGATCCCATCGCAGGAAATTCAACATTGGCGGTTCAGATATACGGAGGTGGTGTGAGAGCTTTGGCGAGATATCCATTAGGGACACCGATCAGGACGGCGACGATACAAGCTTGGTCGGAAAACATGCACGATATTCTGTCGGGGGCTATCATTATAGCTGGGATTGGTGTTGTGGCGTGTGTGTTCTTACCTGATAGGAGATTGTCGGAGGACAAACAGAATAATGTGACAGCGGAAACTGTACAGCCGTTGGTACCACTTGCTGCGGTGTCGGGGCGGATTAGGTTGACTTCTGAGCCGCCAGAAGTATGAGATGTGGGGGGTGATTAGATACAAAAAGCTTCGAGATGCATGATTCTGTTTCGATGGGACTGGTGGAGCTTGATCGGCCGAAACAGAGGCATGTGATGTGTTGGGTCAAGCTATAGCGATCTGTCGTATGGTCGTGACGCCTGGAACAGGTGGGGAAGGTGAAGCGTAGATCTGTCGTGTTCCCTTTGTACTTTCCACATGACTCACAGGTTACATAGTGGCTTGGTCTCACATTAAGAACATTCAGATGACAGAGCTCGGTGACCGACTCTCGCGTGATAGAAACACTGTTCCTACAGCCAAGATTGATAAAATGTCAACAGTCACAGTCTCAGGCAACAGCACAATGAAACCGCCCATGGCATGCCATCGCGCCGGATTGACGCGTCACAAATTTACCTCGGCCTTCGGCGCACGCACCTCGGCCATGGTCGGTCACACGCATTCAGGAATCCCTTCTCTGCCTTCCTTCTGCCTCTCACGATGCGGCCCTACTCTTCGCTGACAGACTGCGACAGGGTAGCAAGTATGAATCAACGTGGAAAGGAGTCAAAGGATGCATCTTGTCTCTTGACTACGAACGTTTCCTCCCCCTGATTTACTTGTTCATTCCTTATCTTTACCCTCCCTCGATTCACTATTTTTCTACCCTCATTCCACATCCTCCTGCTTACGTGATGTCCCTAGCAAGTCACCTACTGCTCCAGCTGTAGTCTCCCGCCGTCCACCCCGCACGATCCGGAACAGCAGTTAGCAGTTTCGTGCCTCGGATCGAAGCGGAGTCGCCGGAATTTCCAAAGGCACGACTAGTGAATTTCCGGACGTAGCATTTTTGGTAATCAGCCGAAATTAGATTAGTGCTAGCCCGTGCGCCTCGATCTGATCTCCGCCGCGGGCGCCGGCTGTCTCCCTCGGTGCCGACGTCTGAACGTCATCTTCTGAAAAACACTCGGCCTCGTTACTTACCTTTGTGTAATTTTTTACTTATTATAATCTTCTTGTCATCTCCCTCGTCCCATCTATCGTCTTCACATCATCTATCCGTATCTTACTTGCTATCCAGCGATAGTCCCAGGTCCCTTCCTCGGCAACCAACTCCACCTTCACGCAAGACCGTCCCCCTCCCCCCCTCTCCATGAGCACCACTTCCTCCGTCATGCAGTCCCGTACGCAAACATTAGCGTCGAATCATTCCCAACCACCCAAATCTTCTCCACGACCATCGCACGAATCCCATTCCACCTCTCCTCCATCTTCAATACAAGCAGAAAAAGACAAACAGAAGCAAAAGCCACATAAACCTAAAGCGCCACCTGCCGGTGTATCAGGTTTCCAAGCACCTCTTGAACTTCCAAGATGGAGATTCTGGCTTGTTATCCTTTCCCTCATGCTCTCCGTCTTTCTTTTCGCTCTCGATCAACTCATTCTCGGTGAGTTACTCTTATACTTACGAACACTGCATACGAGTACTGATCTCTTCTAGCCACCGCTATTCCTAAAATCACGGTCGCCTTCCAATCCCTTACCGAATTACCATGGCTCACCAATAGTTTCTTCATGACTCTCTTATCTTTCAATCTGCTCTACACTCAATGGTCACAACTATTTCCCTCGAAACATGTCATGATGTTCGCCGTTTTCATATTCGAAGTAGGATCTTTGATTTGCGCCTTAGCACCAGGAATGACCGTCCTAATCCTAGGTCGTGCAATCACGGGTGTGGGTGCAGCAGGGATCTTCGGTATTGGAATGGTCATCATTGCAGAGATCACTCCGCTACACAATCGAGCTCAAACTTTGGGTTTTTTGGGGGTCGTATTCGCTATCGCTTCCGTTATCGGACCATTGATCGGTGGTGCTTTCGCTGATCATGTTTCATGGCGATGGTGTTTCTATATCAATCTTCGTAAGTCTCTTCATCTCTGACGTGGGACTTTTAGATAGCTGACTCACAGCCTTCGGTGGTTTGGCTTTCGCAATGCTATTCTTTTTGTTACCCACGACCGCTCCTCTAGGACGTAAAGCGACATACAAGGGTTACAACAAAGATATGATCATGGCTGTCGTCAGATGCGATTGGGGGGCAATGGTCATCGCTATGGCATGGTCAGTCTGTATCATTCTAGCACTTCAATGGGGTGGTGTCACCAAGAAATGGAACGATGGAAGTGTCATCGCTACCTTGGTCATGAGTGTTGTTCTCATTCCAATCTTCATTGGGTATGAATGGTGGATGGGTGAGGCCGCCATGTTCAAACTTAGATTGTTAAAGCGTCGGACCATAGTGTGAGTCTGCTTTTTCTCCCTCCTACCCCCATCCCCCCCTTCTCCCACCCTTTCATTGTATGTAATATGAACGGAACCGCAATAAGAATGAGGGTCCAACTAATTCGCAGTGGAGTCTCATTAGTTCTTTTCTTCCTATTCGCAATCTTCATGCTCGAGGTTTACTACCTTTCCGAAGCTTTCCAAGCCGTATACAATAATTCCGCAACTGCTGCAGGTGTCAAACTCCTTCCACTCATCCTTCTTCAAGTTTTCACTCTCATCGCCTCTTCCAGAGTCATCGGTCGGATCGGTAGATTCAAGTATGTCATCTTGGCCGGTCCATGTTTCCTCGCCATCGGTAGTGGATGTTTGTACAGTGTGAAGTATGGAACTCCTCAAAGTCACATATACGGTTTCCAAGTCTTGCTCGGGATAGGATTGGGGGTGGCTATGCAGAACTCCATGTTGGCTGTTCAGTTTGAGGTGAAGAAGGAACCTTGGTTGGTTTCTGCTGCTACTGGTGCTGTCATCTTCTGTGAGTCCTTGTTTCCTAAATCCTGTCCTTCCTTCCTGTCATACCTACCGACATTGATTGTGAACAAAAGCGACCTCTGTGCTTGTCACTTTTCCCATTCTGTCGTCAAATCTTCTTGGCTTTATGCTTGGCGTCCGAATCTCCATTTTGAGAATATTAGTGCTGACATTTTAGTGGGTTTCATGGGTCGTATTATTGGTTAGTATTGCATCGTCACTCTGCTCCCTCACTCATAACCCCAATCACCCCTACATCAAACTCCCCTGCCATCTCGTATCATGATCACAATATACAATAAGCTGACATTCTAGGTATCAGTCTCGCTACCAGTGTATTCCAAAATATGCTCCCTCGTAACTTGCACAAGTACGCACCCGGCCTCAGTCCAGAGTTGGTTTTATCCGTCGTCAATGATGCTAGAGCAGTATGGACCGTGATACCCGAGGTGAGTTTCTTCACTATTTCTTCATCTTATCTCCTTCTCTTGTTTTTCCTTTCCTTCCCTCCTCTTCCACTGATCTCTAATTTCCCTTCAACCTCTTGTCATAGCACATCGTTGTAGCATGTTTTCTACCGCTCGTCCTCCCCGGTACATGATTGGGTCAAGTATATCCTACGACACACGTGATGTGCTTCCACTCTTGAAAACTTTGCTAACGCCCAGGCAATGAGAGAACCAACCCTCATGGCATACACTGAAACACTTCGAGACGTATACATAATCGGAGTACCATGTGCCATCCTCGGTTTCTTTGGTGGATTCTTGATCAGGAACTCTAGGATGCAAACGAAAGAAGAAGAAGAAGCAGCTATCAGAGAAGCCAAAGAAAAAGCTGCCCTTGAAAACCCAACCCAAGCCGATGGTCAGATTGTCGAAAAAGCTGGTCCTTCTCAAGAAGACATACATGATGCTCAATCTGCTCGTACAGAAGCAGAAGAAGCGGAAGCTATGTCGGCTGTTAGTGCAGTACCGGATGCTGCTGTGGATGGAGGGATAGATGCTCAGGTCGTTTTGGCCAAACAAGAGGGGAAGAGTCCTGTTTGAAGAAGGAAAAAACGTTACAATTTGGAGTTGGGTCTTATCGGGGTCGGAGCAAGTAACTCGTGATTTATTCGTACTTCTTTCCTTCGAGGCTTGTTTCTTTTTGATCTGTCGACTTTCCCAAGGTGCCTCAGAGTGAATGATTTGAATGGTTCGATAGGAGAGTCAGTCATATTCCACGTGAGATCTCAGTGGGATCTTAGGGGAACGTAAAGAAGAGGGAAAGAGGGAAAGAGGGGAGTAGCGAGTAGGGGAGTAGCGAGTAGCGAAAGTGATATAAACCACTTAGATCGTGTTCGAGTCTTGTCTATTTTATGCTATGCAAATAATGCTACTTCAGTTATCATCTTGTCAAATATTCTCAAAATCAGCAGTCCTCAACATGCTCATAGCATGCTTGAGCCTAGAGTACGAGCAGAGTACGAATACGAGTACTCTACTACGAATGATACATGTAGAATCAGTACTACACACGTCAACCGAGTAAGTTACTGTGTGTGAAGGAACAGAAGTAACAAAACCCCATCCGTTCAACGTCATGTATGCGGCTTGCAACATTCCTCATCCTGCAATGGAGACATTTCATCGGACGTACGTCACACACACAGAAACGTACATATACATCACAATCCACTATAATACAAAGGCATAGGTTGCCATGCTTGAGGAGGTAATCTTGCACTTTTAGGATGATCTTTATCCCATTGATCCAACTTTTCTTTCCTCTTTTTTCTTTCTTCTTCCGTATCACCTTCCAATTCACGTAACATTTCTCTCAGTTTACCCATTCCAGCACCTGCTACTCCACTCATCGTACTGAATCTATTGTTGAACATTCCTTTTCCTCCCACTCCTCCATGGACATGAGAGTGAGATGATGTAGAAGCGATGACGGTAGAACCGACCGTATCATCCGAATCGAGATTCAAAGATCTTGAGAAAGTAGAATAATCCGAACGTTGTTGCAAATAAGGTCGGAGGAGAGAAAGTTCTATCCTACCCAAATGCGATTCAGTCATGTAAGATTTCAAAACGTGAGGTTGGACGATGAATGAGTTTCCGAGTTGTCGAAGCATGTCGAATCTGTCGTTTATTGCAGGAACGGCGAATGAAGCGACCGTCTCTTGGTATGTTGCTAGATCCCTGGGCATCAACAAGTGTCCATGACGGTGTACATATGCTAGATGTCTGATATGATCAAGAAGAGGTGAGAGTAACTCACTTTGTCAACATCAACCCTCCAGTTGGGTTCACTGGGAACTTTTTGTAATGATCCAACAAAAGACTATAGTCAGTACTATCTTCGATTAAACACGACTTTCAGATACGTTTGCAATTCCCAAACAATCTCAAGTTCACACACACACACACACTCAAACATGCCTCATCGCAACGAGAAGACCACAGAGAGGATGAATCATCTCAGAAATCAAGTAGAAGGAAGGACGACACACCTGTGAAAGGCCACCCCTAATTCCGTCAAGAAAACCTCTGCATTCTTCCCACTCAATCCCTCATCCACCACCTCCTTCACCGTTCCTAGAAACTCACAGATGAGCTCACACGGTTCCGTCGTAGTACGCGCGAAAGACAATTCGTCGTTTTTCGGCTTGTAGTCATTTTTCTTCTGTTTCGTGAGCAATTGTGAGATCCAGCCGAGGATCACTGATGTCAGCAAATCGACCGAAGATGTGATGCAACAAAAACATGACAACGCTTTTTCTTGATATTGGTAGATATGCTACGCTAGATACCTGACAGACTGTTCCCATGATGCAACGCTCACGCACGAAGCAAGGTGGCGTAGGGTCATAGCAGTTGATCATTGTGTATGTATGGGTCGAAGCTTCAACAAGACCGGAGAAAGTGAGAGGGAGGTTGATAAGAGGGTGGGGGGCAAGGGGAAACATCGGTAGAGAGAGAGTAGGTGTGTATGATGGGATCGCATCAAAAGAGAAACCCACGATCCAACCCTCGCTGTATCACAGCGTTCACCTTCCCTTCCATCCTCATCACACCATGAGAATTCAAACTCCCTATCTCACGTCGAGACGTAGCGGTGCTACCTGCCAGAGGTAACAACGCCGTCGTCGCGTACCTCTGCCAGAGGTGAAAGATAAGGTCGGCAGGTTTGAGCACTGCCAGAGGCGATAAATCAGGTTCCGACTTGGGATCTTGTTGATCCAACCGGGCGAGGGCGCTGCGTGTTAGCGATACATACCCACAACTCTGATTAAAACCATGTGAACCGGCCCTTTTCACAGGTAACGATGCGGCCAGCATCGAGGGGGAAAGGGTATTGTCAATCTGATACCACGGGCCTTTCGGCGAAAGTCAATGGCGGTGGAAGTGACAGCTCATGGAGACAGTGTCGAGATGGAAGACATCACTCACGAATCCAGAGCAGTTTCAACAAAAGACCGACCGATGGCTTCTGCCAACGTCCGCGATAAAGCAAAGGCGCTTTTGGGTCTGACAGTCAGCTCCACATTACATGGAATCAGCGGCGATCACTCACACTTCCCCACTGGGACTCAGCTCTACGATCCTCCCCACCGCCTCTGCATGCCATTTCAACATCCTCTCACTCATTTCAACGGTCAACACTCCATCTGTACTCCAAACCTTATCTTCCAACCCTCGATTCACCAGCTCACCCCTCATTGAATCTTGCCTCTTCACCTCTGGTTTGCCCAGAGGCGTGACAGCCCCTTTCGGTGAGTCGGTACCCCTCAAGATTTTCGATCCGGGAGCTTGAGAGATTTGACTGGTACGTTGCGATCCTGGGAGTTGATACGGTGGTTGACTGGACGTTTGCAGTGCTTTGGTAGCTCGCTCGGCAGAAGCAGTGAACATGTTTGCGTATTTTGACATGGCTGCTGCGGCCGCTTGGGCGGTTGAGGATGATGTGGCGGCGGAAGATGAGGAAGAGAGTTGGTGAACTACCTTGTCAAGGAGTGAGTTGGGTTTGGCCTTGAGGACGGTTTCCTAGAAGTCAGTTTTCCGAGCTCTCTTTCTCCACTTCAGTTTCGAGTACCGAGACCATGCTCTTTGCAGTGAGTTTGCAAATTAGTCTCAAACCAGGTCGATGACATAGAAAGAGCGAGACCAGAGCGGGGGAGCAAAGGGATGAGAGGATTGGTACAAGAGGAGAAACCCACATGATACCGTGTGAATCGACTCAACAACCCAGCATACAACTCCACAAGATTCTTTGTCTCGCTGTCCAGATACCTCGACCCCTCGAGCCACGGAACGAAGATCTCCTCCAGTGCATGATCCAACATCACTGCCAATGGTCCAGTTCCTGATGCTGCCCCCACAACGGACAGCGACATGGTAGACGTACCGAGTGATCCCATGCTTCCGGAAAGAGTCGCGTCGTATGTCTTGAGATCTTCGACAAGGGTAGAACATGTCGAATGGACCATGGAAAGGATACGTAGGACGGCGAGGGTGGAGATAGTGGAGGCTCTTGAGACGAGGGATTCGAGGTGTTGTTGGATCTATGGTGAGCTGTGACTTCTCCACATTCTGGGAAGTCGCGTTGGATAACACGGCGAGGGGCCGTGAGCTGAGTATCGAGAGATGAAACGAAGATCGTCCAGTTTGGGACGACGAAATGTAACGTAGTGTATGAGAGTGAAACGTGGTACGGATGTAAGTCGGGATGAGAGAAGAACAACGTAGGTGTATGAGCTGTAGCGGACTCACAACCTGAGCAAATATCCGCTGCAAGAAAACTTGCATGACGGCAATAGGACTGGGAAAGACAGCTTTTACAATCTGAGCTTCTTGAGCTACAGTAGAACGGATCTCTTTGAATAGCGCTTCCATGCCTGGTTCGGATGTTGGTGGTGGACTGTCAGGGTCGCCAATGGTCGACCAGCTAAATGATCAGCCACTTTCGCCATTCTCATCCGGGTTTCAAAGTCGACGTCGGAAAGAGAAATCAACAATCCCAGGTGGATACTCGTGAGAGGTACAGTCAGGACACGAATACATCAATCGCTGTGCAGGCGTATCCGTGCGGACAGGCATGGGAAGTTGAACGGCTACTTGGAGTTTTTCCCGATGACATAGGCGGGGAATGGATGCGTCAAAGAAGTTGCTCTGATGGACCGCGAAGAAATACTCACATATCTGCCCTCGTTCCATCTCCGTCTCCCTTTGCGGCATCCTCCAATACTCGATCTTTTGAGATGAAGAAATCGTGTTGATTGACGTATATCTGCACGCAAGACGCTCCACCGTTGAAATCTTGCAAGGTCTTTGCGCAGTGCTGTGGGTCAGTACTTCCATCATACTTCTGGATCATTCTGTTGTCTAGCCTCTCAGAATGTGTGTATGATCCAACCCCAGCGCGCATCAACCCCAAGCCGGGTAAAATTCCCTACGACAATCTACCCTCCAACGCGACTAGCTCAGTAGTTCATGATGACTACTCGGATGAGGGGCAACCCTAAAGAAAGTCTTACTCACAGCCATCATTCTCGGATCTCCTTTCCTATAACTCCTATCGAACAGCCGCAAACATTCCTTTTCAAACCTCTCACAATATCTCTCCACCTCATCTCTCACCCTCTCTGCCTTTTCCTTCTCTGTCCTTCTCTTCAACACCGTTCTCCCCTTTCCTGCCGGTGTCTCACCTTCCCCTTCAGCGTTTTCAGCATCTACCAAAGCCGTCGTCGCGTTGTCCGCCACGTCCTTTGCGACTGCCATGAGACGTCGTAATATGATTGATATCCTCGCCCTACCTTCACGAGAGGTCCGAGTTGCGAAGAGTTGTTCCAGTGGGTTTGTCGTTTCTGGCTTGGGGTTATTAGGATCTGGAGTGGTGGAAGTTATGTGAACGAGGGAAAGGTAGTAGGATAAAAGGAGAGAAGTGGATTGAGCAGTGGAACGAGTTTGATGTAGAGATTCGAGTTGCTCGCCTATACGGACCGCTGTTTGACCCACGTCTGTTATTTTAGATTCGAGGGAAGAGAAGGAATTTCCTATTGCCTGAGAGGTTAGTTGTGTGCATGTGTCATCATTGAAGGATATTCCTCCCTTCGCTCATGGGGTATAGTGGCCTGTCCTTGACAACAGAAGAGATAGTACATGGGCTAGAGTGGGAGAAAAGACAGCGTTCAACAATAGATATCTGAGGAACATAGATGTTACGGAGGGGAGGATAAAGAAAGCAAGTCGAAAGGTTGGGATGTGAAAGAAGAGATGCCGACACCCACCTCAAACCCTCCATCCAGCTCTCTCAACCTTCTCCCATACTCCCTCTCCGCCCTCCTAACCTCCGTCTCCATCCTCTTAGTCCTCTCCGCCACCTGAGCCCGCAATCCCAGTAGACTATCCAAAGCCGGAGAGAAAGTCTGTAAGAAAGGTTTGGGATCAAAAGGCCCCGAAGTTGCTTTTGACTGAGCTATGAGTTTATCAGAGAGAGTGGCTACGAATTCGTCTGTCGAATAATTGGATTCGAAAGTTGACAATTGAAGAGCTCTATCTATAGCTGGGTCGCGAGGACGTAGAGGGGTAGGTTGAGGGGGACGTCTATCTGGACGTTTGGGTGGTGTTTCTGGGAATGACATGGTGTAAGGAGTGAGAGGGTTAGAGTGTAGAGTACGAGTGAGTACTTGTTATAGTAGGGGGGCTCAAGGAAGGTGATCACGTGATGGTCCATTCCATACATAATGTCGTCATAGACCATAACCTTGATATGCATAGGGATACCACTTTTCGAAAATGTATACCTACTATGCACAGACAGATGTGTGGTCGAGGCCAGATGTCACTCAAAGTAATACAGATTGACGAGCGATAACACCATAACGAACGACCATGATCAATGATAAAGTCTGTTTCTTGTCAAGACGTTATTCGTGAGTGTGGATGAAAGGGTACTCACCGTGACTGTCCATTAGCATACTGTACCTTACCTGAGGGATAGAGAAGAACGTGTACTCACTCATTCCTGCTGGCATAAACTTTGAAGATTTGGCGAACCTATAACCCATCAAGAGTGTCATGACGAGGGGAACGACTGGTCGTCAGTGGATATAAGTAGTGCGGGCGACGATGTGACATACTGAGAGCTTTCTTGACTTCAGATGGGTTGGTGGAGTATGTCTAGATGTCAGAGATGACCTTGTTCATTGTCTCTGCCATACTTCCTTACTCCAACTCGAAGGTTGCCCTAAGTAAATACTGAAATAAGATATGATTTAAGACGGGGAGAGAGAAAGGGTGCAACCTCACATATGCTCCATATCCCGCTGCAATCCCACTGAGTCCTCCAGCACTATACATGAGCCGCCCTTCTTGTTCTTCATGACGATATCGTAGCGCGTACCAATTATTGTGACCATACGGTTAGAGTCGTCGGACGTAAAGGGTTCACGGGTAAGTCAGGACTAGACGTACAGGAGAGAAACCAGAGAACCCCTTCTGATAGCTCCTAGTAAACCCCCACTGATGAGTAAAGCGGCGTAGATGTATCCTAGTCGTCAGCCTCTTCCCCGGTTTACCTCCATGTAGGCAGAGGTCATACCTGGGTAATCGGTGGGCATGATGCCAGTCAAGTGTTGTTGAGAAAAGGTGGAAAGGCAAAGTGTAAAAGTGGGACATGTTTCATCTCTTTCCATCTTTCTTCCATCTTTCCTGCTTACTACTGACGTTTGCATACCGTACTCGACGCTCGGCATACTACTCAAAGATCAAGGATATTCTCTGGGTCACTGGCGTACTAGCGTCTCTACTAGAGCCACCGCCGGATCATCAAACTCACCCAGCTGCCAGCAACCTCCATAAGGACCAATTGTCCCATTGTACAGATCAAGTCTTCTCCCTCTTTCCCTTTCTTGACTCCCACGAACGTTTTTTATCCAATACGAACACTATCGAACGAATACCTTCCAGCCGACATGTGGAAATTCCCTCTACTACTACTCCTCTTACCCATCTGTCTAGCTCAATTCGGTTTCTTCCAAGGGAATCCGTTTCATCCTTTCCAACAACAGCAACAACAACCTCCACCGTCAGGACAGGGTCAAGGGAGGGGACATAAAGGTTGGGATGAGATGGATAATGGTACGTTGGAAATTCACTCGTATATCTTCTGTTCATCAACATCTTCACGTTCACTTTCGAACAGGTCACCATCTCCACTCTATAACTAACAAACATACCATCTTGACTCTCCACAAAATCACCATCTTGACTTCAAAACAGAATTACCATCTCCACTTCAAATAGTACTACCATCTTCATTTCAGAACGAATCTCCACCTCAAATGGAAATAACAACTTGATATATGATATGTTCCGTCAAATTACTTGACACAGCTCATGAAGAGGAAAAAACGTGAGAGAATTTACTCAACCCACATAGTTCATTGTAAAGCAGGATACGTTTGTCCTTCTTCTTTAACATGTGTTTCAACACCTGCAAACTGTCCATGTCCTTATCCGTGAGTTTTTCTAACCGCTTCGTCTAATCCTTTTCTACCAACTTTGCTCTCATCTATCCCTCAAACCTTTCTCTATGTCTTGATATTCCTCGACATCCTCTTTCAAAATGGTTTACCTTCCTCTATCCCTAACTTGATCTCTTCATGTCTTTGTTGTCTATACCATTCATCACCCTTACCCAACTCTTCAAATCCATATGATTCTGCTCAAAGGTGATTCGTTCCAGAAAGAGCCCAATGAGAGATGAGTGAGGCAGAGTCAAGCTGATGGATAGAGAAGATATCAAATGCGTCATACCCGATCATCGACCGAGGGATGAGGGTGAAGGTCCACCTTTTGTGTGTGTCAGAGGTCCATGCGATGAGGTCTTCAAGTTCTCCGGAAAGATATGAGACGGAGTATGCTTAATGAATCTCAAAAATCCTTTGATCATCTAACTCTATATACTAAGGTCTTGAAATCATGGATCCATTTCATAGCTCGTGTATTCTAGAGATATTAAGGTACTCGTGATGAGATCTGGCACCAAAGTCAAGATGGGTGCATGAGTGCAGGAAAGGCAAAACTAGTAAATAGGAAAAGTCTCATCTACCTCTCTTGACCAAGCTTCCAAACCACCAATAACATCAGTGACCAAGACGTTGACCATGTTTTGTTCTACATCGCAATCCCCAGCTGAACCGACGTCTGAGTCACTCGCTGAAGGGGTTGATACACTTTGTGTAGCTGGAATCGAATTTTCGGTATGGGATAGGATTACATTTTTGGAAAGATACGTTTCATACGACCGAGCAGCGATGAGTGAGTCGTTACCTCTTTTACAGATGAAAATCACTTGTTGGGATTTTGGTATCGACGATGGAGAGCGGAGAATGTCACTCAGAGGAATATCTCGGTGTCAGTAAGTCAGTCACTTTCACTGACAATAGTCCCAAGTGCCCAACCATCAAAAAGGGAAACGGGAAGAGAGGACGGAGCAGAAAGAAGGACAAGGGAAACGAGGGATGTCAGCGAAGGAGGAAAGAAGATACTCACTTATCGTCAGAGGTAAATGACACATATCATATTCCACTTCTGGTCTAGTATCAATAACCACTGTATTTTCCATATCCTCGAAAATCTCCACAAGTTTCTGAAGTCTCAGCATCGCGTTTCTCGCCCTGTGTCGCCCCTTCTTCCACTCGTTGGTTGATTGTTCGAGTGTTCCACTACTCCTACTGCCATCTTGTTTTAAGTTGGACAAAACTTCAGAGTTACACATGGCAGATCATGATGGTCTGAAAAGAAATTAAGTGAGAGTATAACTTACCTTCACCTGCACTCGTCTCACCTCACTGCCCGAGGCAAAAGTTGACGAGGCAAGTCCAGCACAGAAAGTCTCGTAGTCCACCTCATTGAGATCGTCTGGAAGGGTTGACGAAGGTCCACAAAAAGTACATTTCACTCGTGGAGGACGTAATTTCACAGAACGGATCATCGGGACGGATAGGAGGTCGAGTATGTGTAATGTCCCATTGGAGTCTTCTTCTGCTAGGTCAACCCCACTTTTCCATCATCATGACGATGTGTAAGATTTGTTTTGTTTGTTCAAGCCAGCTGCCAGAGAATAAAGAGCAGCAACCTTGTCAACTCATCCGGAAGAGGGGAGTAGAGATATGAGCTTGAAGATGTGTTTGGCAGATGCCATGAGCGGATAAGGAGAAATCAAATAGTTCGAGTGTCGTGTGTGTGAAAGAGACATAACGGGTGGAATGGTCGCCGAATGACTCACCTAGCCCCATGATAACCTTTATAGCTTCAGTAGCCATGCCAGTACCTACCATACCCGTCACCGTACCCCATACCCCATGTTCATCACATTTGGCAGATTCACCAACGACCTCTGGCCACATGCAACGGTAACACGCTCTTCGTCTTGTTTTTCCGTTTGACCTATCACTGTCTTTCCCCTCCCCTTCTGCATCACTGCTTTTGTGGTCTATCTCGTTACGATTTTGTCCTGACGCGCGTTTCCTAGACCCAGATGGTCCGCCCCTTCCTGTCTCCCAAGCGAATCTACTAGGCAGTCTAAGTGAGGTGTTTGGTGTGATATTGGATGATGAGGTCTCTATCGGAGTTGGGACGGTCGAGGAAGACGTAGAAGGAACTGAATCACAGGAGGGATAGGAAAAAGGACGGGGAGGGATAGAAGAAAAACAATAAGTGGACCATTGTCCAACGGAAGATACCGCCGCTCCTGATACTAAAGGAACACCGAGTTTCACAGCGACGTCGTTGAGTAGATATCGGGTGAGAGGACGATCTGTGCAATCTATTATGAGATCATATGGGGTTAGATGGGATAAGGCGTTTGTCGGTGTGAGGGCGATGGGATGGGGTATGATGTGGGTTAATGGGTTCAATCTGGACGTCAGATCTTGCTCATCTGCTAATTCGGACATGATTGCTCAAATATCTCGATAAGAGAGCATTTCGAAATCTTGACCAGAGGGAATTGTGGAGGAGAGTAGCAGAGGAAGCAGCGAGGAGAGGGGAGAGCAGGAAAGAAGAGACTAACGCTTCAAGACCCAACCTAGCCGAATCGGATTTGTTCATACCTACCCGTTCGGTGGTATGTAAGACTTGTCGGTGAAGGTTGCTAAGGGATACAGTGTCATGATCGAATATACCTATCGTTCCTGTGGATCAGCATGAGATCTTAAGCTACCAAGAGTGTCAGGAGCACTGAACCGGACAAAAATGGAGATAGAAGCGAAGGGACGTTGATGACATGGGCACAACATATGCTCAGCTTTCAAGAAAAGAGAAGGACTGGGATCTGGAAGTGGTTTTAGGACTAGAGGAGGAAGAAGACGTTATAGAAGATATTCACCCACCCACTCCAGCCCCAGCGAGGTAAACCAAACATGGACATCCTAATCCTCCTGCACCGACCAAGGCGATTTTACAGTATTTCAATTTGAGTTGACCTGGGGGTTAGCGATCAAGCAGGAAAAGGTCAGGCTATACTGAGTTATGACAGGTAGAAAGATAGAGAGAATGATATGCCAATCCTGAGCTAAGAGAAAAAAGGTTAGTTTGACCGAATGAGAGGAAAGAGTGTGGGGGATATAGCGAAGATAGGGAATATAGCGAAGATACATAGCCACCCACTCACCTTGTAGACCCCAATGGGACATGATCATTTGTCTTCCATACCTTTCGTATTCTTCTTTGCTCAACCTCATCTTGATCTGGGTGCAGCTGTCTGTTAGAAGCGGGTAAGTCGTCGACAGCCGTGCCAGTTTCGGTGTCCTCTCTCGACTTGGCTTAGGATGTATGATCCCCAACGATGTTTCTGCAAGGCCCTGTCAGCTATCTATCTGAGTATAAGGAGAGTTGATAGTGCGAAAACAGACATGAAAGACGAGATGTATGAGCGTGAGTTGTGGATAGATTAGTAGTTGATGGTAAGTAATTTGGATCAAATGGTATTAGAAAGCCTGACCTGATGTGGGCCGAGATAAGGAATTTCGTTAATCCCCAATAAGTAACGAGGTCGCCGCCTCAGGAGCCAAAGACTAATCGGTTTAGTAATCTCGCGTTTCCAAGGTAATTCAAAGTTGCGATTAGTACTTGTACTGCTAGTAGTGAATTACGCAAATAAGCCAGACCTTAAGTCAAATGCATCTTGTCATCTCATTCCGTTCCTTCTTACTGATTGATCTATGACCGTTGGCTACCGCCCACCAGTGCAACCTGTCATCTCTACTCCTCCTCGATGGTCAATCCCGAGTCGGACAGTGCATAGTCACTCCCCGAAGGTACCTGACCAATGGCGATACTCGGATCATAGCCTTTTTCGCTGAGAAAAGTCTTGAGTGATGGGATTAACTTGTCAGCTACCTCTTTCACATTATGGCCCTCCGTTTCTGGCGAGCTCATCTCCCAATCGTTACTTCCGGGTCGCTGCAGACGGGCAAAGTAATCTATAATACTGGGTCCCGCAGCTCTTATAGCCATGCTGGATGGGCCCGCTTGAGACCAGACCCTGGTCCCGATGGACTCATTCGTTTCGGTGCCGAAAAAGTCGGCAATAAGGTCATACACTTTCTGCTGGTATGTTTCTTCCAATCCTTGACATGTTGTAGCTGCGCTGATCTCAGGGCTTTCAGAGAGGACCTCAGTGTTATTCTCTTTCCTCAAAGAAGCTGGGTCCAAGGCACTTGGTCCATACAAAATACAAAAGATGAGACCAGGTACTATGTTGTGAACTCGATCTTCATGTCACATTCGTCGTTTCTTCTCTTCTACTGACCGACGGTCAACAAACCTCGGCTGACTACGTCGTAGTGAGGCGTCGATGTCTCACTAGGACAGGGTACTCGTCGGGGAACTACGGCTAACTACGGCGTAGTGATAGGTCGAGTGGTAAGTGATAAGATGATCGTCGATGAACTGCGGCTAACTTTGCCGTAGTACGTCGAACTGCTCGGTGGTAACTCTCCTTAACTCGATGGTTGTAGCTACTGAATATATCGCTCGCTACTGACAACAATCAAAAATCGCTGAAGAAGTTCAGCGATCTGTAACCTATGTATACTACTCCTCACTTCTCATAGAACGTCCCTCAACTCCTGCACTGCCTCACGCTCAGTCCTCTTCGTTCAACTTCGCCGTACCTCGCCATATCCCCAATGTCCTACTCCACTCACTTCGACTAACTTCGCCTAACTTCCCCTGCTCTGCTCTCCTTCGGTTTCCTTCCCCTAACTTCGCCGTAGTTCTCCGCTAGGCGGGGTTATTGTGACAAATAATACCCTCTTAGTTCTCGTAACTTCGCCGTACTCCGTCTCAGTGGTTCGAGTGGAGGTTGGTGATGGTGAAAGGAAGGTCGGTGATGGTGAAAGGAGGGTCGGTGATGGTGAAAGGAGGGTCGGTGATGGCGGTTGTCAGGGATGTTACGACGTAGTTCGTGACACCTAGTCTTGTTAGACAAGCCAGAGACATTCCTTGGGTCACAGTCCCATTCCTTGTTGGACTCAGTCTTGTTATCTAAGTATATTCCTTGTCACTCCTAGTCCTTGTCCCCTTGTCCTTTGTCCTCTGTCCCAGGGTGGGCAGTATCCTTGACAAGCACGCACTGATGGTCAGAGGTTTCATCTCTTTCAGCAGTGTGAACGACTCAACTGAGAGAACCAGAACGAAAACCACTCTACTAAGCATATTTAGCCTCTATTCGAACCTCTCAAACCTCTACCGAACCCCCAGGACTGAACCAGGTATTTTTGAGTCAAAATCTGCATAATGTGGGTGTCACGGTCCTGTCCTTGACAGACCTCAATGAATCAAAGACAGGTGGACTACAACTGTTTAGTTAGCTTGAACAACGACAGTTAGTATTATATTGTTCGTAGACTTGTGATTTGGTCGGACGACTAGAGTGACTTGCGAAGGATCCTGTCACGGCCGTCGAACAACTATTTCTTAATAGACCGACGGTCGACGAACCTCGGCTAACTTCACGCTCTGAGTCGATGTCTCACCCAACCGGGAGGGCGCAGACGTCGAAAGGGGTGTAACTACGGCGTACTTCGGCGTAGTTACTCTAACTAGGGTTTTGTTCTACTGATGGCGATGTATCTTGATTTATAGCTATCTCTATCTGTCTTTCACTACTGACAACAATCAAGGATCGCTGAAGAACTTCAGCGATCTTCTCAGCTAATATTATCTACTCTTCCTAGACGTTCATCCAACCCTCTCGTGCTTTGACGTACTTCAACGCACTTCGTCCAACTTCCCCGAGCCCTCGGCCATCCTCTTCCTCCTTCGACTAACTCCGCCTAACATCGCCGCACTTCTGCTCCCATTGTCCCTACTTAGCCTAACTCCGTCTAACTTCGCCGTACTTCTGCTCCCATTGTCCCTACTTAGACTAACTCCGCCTAACATCGCCGCACTTCTGCTCCCATTGTCCCTACCTAGCCTAACTCCGTCTAACTTCGCCGCACTTGGTCTCAGAAGTCCTGAGTTACGTGTAGAGTAAAGAGGTTAAGGCGTGATGGGGGTTTTGATGGTCAAAGGAGGGTCATTGTTGGTGGAATAATCGAGGTGTCACGACGTAGTTCGTGACAGTCGCCCCCTTCTTTAGCCGCGAACGTCCTCGTGAGCGATTACACCTCTGTCGTGTCAAGAGAACTTAGCAGCGTAGTACCCCCATTCTCTCCCTCCCCATGACCATCTTTCACCCTTCTGCTCTTTGCGCCGCACTTCGTAGGTGGGCCTCCTTTCACTCCAAAACCCGACAATGAGACTCCCCTAACTTCGTCGAGGTTTGCCGTAAGAAGCCCTGTGTCTTTTGTAGGTGAGACACGCTTCCTGAATGGCAGCCGAATAACACCGTTGTTTGTCGAAGTAACCCTCGCTTATATTGAGATGAGACACTATAGCGTGGGAATTTTGATCGTCCCTGCGATGCCTTTTGTTGATGAAACGCGAAGTTTGCCGCATGTTGACGACGAGGGTTTAGGTTTGATTATACTAAATACTGAGCAGTTCGTCGAGCTTCTCTCTTTTTCCCATCTGCTTTCAAAACTTTCTATCTCTCTTACCTAGAAAACAGATTTGTTACCTTGAATCATCTTTTATTTCTTTAAGTATTTTTAACGTCATGGCCCCTCCTACTCCCACCTCTAACCCTTTCGCCGCCATGAGGAACTTTGGTGGTATGGTGTCGTCTGCTCGTGAGTTATTCCTCGACACTTACCTTACTTCGCCGGACTTGGCTGATGTTCAGTTTCCTTCGGCGACAGATCTCGCCAAGTCTCCTCCCTCGGCCTCGGCACCCTCTCTTTGGGGGAGCCGTCTGGCGATGTCCCGCCTCCTCGCTCCGCTTCTCCTCCCGTCGGTCCTCCCGCTGGTTCTCCCTCTGCTTCTCCTCCTCCTGGTTCTCGCTCTGCTTCCCCTCCTGCCGCCAGCCCTCGCCGCAGGACGCCCGCCTTTCGTCCTGGTGAGTCTCCGTCCTCCTCCGACCAGGAGTCGCTCAGTGGTTCGGAGTCGGACGATCAGTCAGACTTCGAAGGAAAAGGGGGTGATTATAGTGATGAGGATGATAGAATCGTGTCGGAGGGTGAAACCGAGTTAGAGGAACACTCGGATGATGATATGGTGGCGGTTAGTGTAGAGGACAACAACGTAGATAGTCCTGAGCGTGAGTTCTTCGTCCAACCTCTCACACCTTCGCCGAACTTGGCCTTGTTTATCTGTTCTTTAGCTCTCCAAGACATTGCTAACTCGCAGCCGCTCCTGCCCCTCCCCCTGCTCAAATTGTGGGCCAGAAACGACGCCGTTCCCTCTCCTCTTCTTCTTCTTCCTCTTCTTCTTCTTCCTCTTCTTCTTCCTCTTCCGGGGTTCTCCCCCCCCCCAACGCCATCGCCGCTGCCGCCGCTGCTGCCGCCGCTGCCGCCGCTATCGCTCCTGCTGCCGCCGCCGGTCCTGCTCCCGCCGCCGGTCCTGCTCCCGCCGCCCCCGTCGCTGCTCCCCCCCCTTCTCCCAGAGGGGAGCCTTCGCCCAAACGGGTGAAGAGATCACTGCGGGAAGAAGAGTACTTGTGGGAGAAGATGAAGTCCGAGCCTGGTCGTTGGATCGCGGTTGGTGTTGACGAAGCGTGTGATCGTTGCCGGTGAGTCCACCTATTCGTACTACGCCGGAGTTACTCCTGCTAATTAGTAGACGTGAGATTATCACGTATAATCGTCCAAACTGGCCCTGCCTCAAGGCAGTCAGGCCACACAACAAGGCCCTCCGTTGTGCTTCATGCACGTCTGGCCCCTGCTCCTTCTGTCCCGTTTCCTCTGCCCGGGACATCCCGCCCCGTCCCTTCGACGCTTCTCCTCTCCCCCCTCCCCAGACTCCAGCGTCTGTCCCCCGTTCGCGGGTACCGTCTTCGTCTCTCCGGTCGGTTCGCCGTACTTCGCCGGACCTCCGCCCGTCGCCTCCGTCGCCGTCGCCCTTCGCTCCTGTGGCCGGCCCATCACGTCTCCCGGCTGTTCCTCCTTCGTCTTCTCGCCGTCCTTCGGCCTCTGCTCCTTCGGCCTCCCGTCCTTCGGCCTCCCGTCCTTCGGCGCCACGTCCGTCCTCTCCAGTGGTAGCTTCTCCTCCGGCTCACAGCACCCGAAGTCGGCGTCCTTCTGTTCCTCCGGCCACTTCGGCGGCCCCTCCCGTCACCCCTCCCTCTGCTTCCCAGAGGACACCGAAGTCCTCTTTAAAGAAATCAAAAGGGAAATCTAAAGGGAAGGAGGTTGCCTTCAATGATGGTGATGTGGAAGGTGAAGATACTCAGCGTGCTGGTCCCTCTGCTCCCCGGTTGTCCCTCGTCCACCCTCGTATCTCCCTGGACGTCCGTATTCCTGAGGACGAAAAGGAATTTGCCACTTATCGTTCTCTCGTCCTCGGTCTCACTACTCAGCTCGAGGCCGCCCGAAATGATACATCTCTCCTGCTTGACTTCTCTTCTCGTCAAGCTAACGCTTTAAACAATCTCACTGCGGCGTTAGTAGATGCAGTCAACACTGGGGCTCTGGACGACGGAGCAAGGACGAGGTTAGCGGACGTCTCTCGCCGAAGCCTTACTGAGATAGCCGATGTTCGCCGAAGACTGTTCGACACCCCCTTCCTGGTCACTCCTATGGCGTATGAGCCACCACCGTCCCTTGACTGGTTAGGTCGCCGTAGTAGTTCTCGTGTCCCAGCTTCCGCCCAGGCTGCTCTCGACCTCCTCAGTCTTCCCTTCGAGTGTCTACGGACCATACGTTCTCTGTGGAGGACTCCGAGCATGCAAGCTGCTCGAGATGTCCAGGACTTCGGTGACTTCTTCGGGGCTATGAATCGGGCATGGAATGCTTCTCTCTCTACTGCGTTTCCGTCTGAGACTCTCGATCTACCTTCGGTCATCGGTAGCCTCCACACCAATCCCGCGGGACCGAGTAGATCGAAGGAGAAAGGAAAAGGAAAAGGTAAGGGTAAGAGTAAGGACAAGTGAGCGGTACGTAGCTGTAATCCTATGTTGTATGCAGTACGTTCTATCTCCTAGCCCTTCGCAGTCGCCCCTCCTTCGGCTTAGTAGGGTGAAGTTCGTGGAACTTCGCCAATATGTCGTCAGCTCCATCGACGTTCTCCACTGGTTCCCATGATACTGAGTCGTCTGTTCCTTCGTAACCTAACCACTCCACCAAGTACTCTAACTTTCCTGATCTCTTATTTACTCTAGAGTCTACAATATCCTTTACCTCCCAAGACTCTCCCACATTGTCTACTTCTACTGGGCCAGGTGGCTCAGCTTGCTGACCAGGAAATATTGGAGGGTGATAAGGACGGAGCAAGGAGACATGGAATACATCATGGATACCTGCCATCGTTCCTGGTAATTCCAATTTACAAGCATGAGAACCTACCTGCCGTACTACCTTGTACGGCCCACTTTGTTTAACATCTAACTTCTTCATTGGTCTCTTCGTCTTAATATTCTCTAACGACAGCATCACTAGGTCTCCTTCTGCGAAGTTCGGCGTAGTCCGGTGTTTCCTATTGTATCCTTCGGCGTACTTCTCATTAGCTTTCTCAATTCCTTCGATACAATCTTTGTGTATTTCAGTCAAGTCTTTTACCACCACCGTAGCAGCGGGCACTTCGACTTCGCTGGCCTTGATTTCTTCAGCCCATCGAGGGTGGTACCCATAGTTCGCATAAAATGGTGTCTTATTTATCGCAGAATGATGGGTGTTGTTGTAGGCGAAGCTAGCTCGAGCAAGCAGCTTCGACCAATCGTTCTGCTGATAAGAAGTGAAGATTCGAAGGTAGAGCTCTAAGGACTGGTTGGTTCGTTCAGTCTGTCCATCAGTCTGCGGATGATATGCAGTAGAGAGATGTAGTCTTATCCCGAGACTATCGGTCAAGTTCTTCCAAAATTTCGAGGTAAACTTCGATCCCCTGTCAGACACTATGTTCTCTGGTAGCCCATGCTGAGCTACCACATAGTCCATTATCAACTCGGATAGGCCAGCTGCGGTTAACTTCGTCGTAGTCGGGATAAAAATGGCCCATTTGGTCAACCGGTCCACCACTACTAAGATGGAATTGTATCCATGGGAATTCGGGAGCTCTTCAATGAAATCCATCGAAATGCTGGACCATGGCTTCGTAGCCACTTCCAGTGGTTTAAGCTC